ACGGCAGAGAGAACGACAGTGGCCTTCATATTTGCGATTGGAGACACGTAGAAAAGAATGAAGTGACTTCAAGTCAGGTAAAGAGTGAATGATAATGAGCGAAGAAGAAGAACGATAGAACAAATCACAATGGTGCGTTGAGCTCAACTTAGAAGCCTGTATATCGGGTCAACGTCTGCCTTATATAAAGTCCAGTGGAAGCGTTTAATCTTAACACGCATATATCAGTCAGTAAGATTCTGGATCACGAACCTGAACCTAGACATGCTTGTGGAACCTACTAAGGGGGTGTGTGCGCCCATTCCGAGCCAAGAGTTCGGTTTAGATTACCAACAGAAAGCGGCAAACGCCAGAGCTCGGATGCAATCACTGCTTTGGACAGAAACCCCAGCAAAATTCTCCGAACACGCTACTGTAAGCATAAACGACCTGCTCGGGATTGATTTTGTGGAGAAACGGAGGAAGCCCCTGTATATGTGGTCTTCGACATGGGCTGGATTTAAATGCATGCGTTCAACACTGGACAAAGTGACCCGTGATGGACTCGGCATTTCCCCAGTCACTTCATCAGTATATCCATACGAATGATTGAAGTAAGCAAGTCTCCAGAATGATCTGTGACTTTCTTAGGGCAATATGACAGTGAATACCTCCACATCTAGGGAGTGCGGGATTATTAAGTTGTATTAGAAGGACTTTCATCACGGATCCGATGCGACAACGGCGCAAAGACGATAGCCAAGGCCCCAATACAGGTCTTGCAGGCACAGAGACAGTGCTACTGAGTACTCGGTAAGTCAACCCACCCACTTTCGGCCCACCCCCCCCTTTCGGCCACCCCATTAAATCCCTCCCAGCCACCGCATTATTATCCTACCCTCAATGTACAAACCACCATAATAATTGCAAAAATCGTCCAAATGGGAAGTGTGAAAACGAACGATAATCTGCCAAGAGAGATTGAAATTATTTTGAAAGGCGTACTTGGTCAAGCCAGGATCTTCGCTTTAATCTAGATACGCTGATAGGTCCCCAAATATGTGAATTGGTGGCACGGCCGAGAACTTCGTAGAAGAAAGACGGAGTCTGCGAGAGAGAGAGAGAGAGACGCAAAAAGATTAGCGCCGCTCCAGGGCTATTCAAAGCGGCTGTTGTGACCGAGAGACCCCAAGGATTCGATGTCGGCGGGGACTTAGGGAGAGCCGTTAGACTCGCGAACGGTTCGGACTACTCGTAAAGACTCGCCAATCCTCCGCAATCATCCACAAGGTGAGGAATCGGCATGGCCCGCTCTATAGGTGAAACCAGAGGGCTTGACACGAGAACTGCCTAGCGCCGCTAGTAGTACAGATACCAGTTGTGATTTGACGAAAAAGCTTTTTCAATAAGTCAACCTACCCACTTTTCGCCATCACTCCCTTTTCGCCACCCCAAAAATGCCTTTCAGCCTCCTCATTATTATTCTACCCCCATTGTTTAAATAACCATAATAATTATTATTTTCGTCTAAACACACTTCTTTTTAGCATACTTATTTATTAATATATAATGGTCTTGTATACCGAATTTAAAGTATAGTAAATACTTAATACTGTTTTAAATAGTACCTCTATTAATAAGGCCTCAATTAATTAAGACTTAGAATATTTACTAAAATTCTAAAACTTATAACATGGTTTACCAGTCAGCCGCGCATATCAGTCAGCCGCGCATTTCCTTATCGCATACTAAATTGCATATTTATCTAATTTCTTTGAATAATAACTAATTAAAAAGATTTCAGTAGTTATCTTTATAATATATTTAAAATATAACTAGTTAAATTTAATAGAAAAAGACACTTTAATCTTTTTATATTGAAATAAGTAACTAGTGGAATAGAAATATGGGTCTTTGATAAGGATATAATATATTTACTCTATCTCTAAATAGAAATTAATTTTTAAAACTTTTTACTTAGTTTGGTGACTCTTATCAAAGACTAATAAAAAAATTTGAACGTTATATAACCAACAATGAAAAAGATATTAATTATATAATGTAGGCGACTTAGTATACGATAAGGAAATGCGCGGCTGACTGATATGCGCGGCTGACTGGTAAACTACGTTAATTTATATCTATGTTATCTTCTTAGTTTCTTTACTATACAAAGCCTTTAGCAAACTGAAATAGCTAATATTAAGAGGCTAAATGTTACGACCCAACTGTTACGAGCTGGACAAGGCAACCAACTGTGGCACAAAGCAAAAGCTTCGATAATGATGACTCCGGCATCATTGTCCCTTGTTCTGCATTATATAGCTACGCGCCCACAGTGACAAGTTGCGCGGGCGTAACACCAACATGCATGACCAAGAACAAGGCCTGCCCCGCAGGCTCGCGGCGGCTACAGCGCACCATGTATGCAGAGGACAAGGAACACTAGGCACCCTCTCACGGAACGGAAGAACTATGGACAAGTCACGTGATGATAAGAGATAAGAGATAAGGATAAGGATATGTTGGATATGAGTTATCCAAGCGATCCTTGGATAACCAGGATATGAGCTATCCAACATATCCAAACAAGGACACTGTCCAGCACAAAGGACATGTTCAGAATCAGGACTTGTATATAAGGATGGACTTGAGCCGGACTCTAGGACAGACTCCCCATAGCTTCTTCAGCAATTAACTTCGTATCAGGATTAACATCCGCTTTCAGCTACTACCTTGACAAGACTACGATTGATCACCGAAGCCTTACCTACCCTTGCGATTGACAGACATAGCTTCCCTGAAGCTATCCACGACTACGATTACTGTTACCAGTTCCGCAGCCTCAACTTCTGCAAACTACCCCTACGACTAGCTGGCCGTAACACTAAAGCTCTTGCAATAAATAGAGAGGTATGTAAAGAGAAATAATGTTTTGTTCCTTAACGTACTTGATAAGCGAGCTGCCCAGACAAGCGAGCTGCCCACCCAACCGCGTTCATCCTTCCTCCTCACTTCCAATGCGTATCACGCCACAAATAATCATGTCGTCACAAAGCAAAGAGGCCCAATTGAACTTAGCAGTCGAGGCTATCCAAAAAAACCCTAAACTCAGCATTCGAGCCGCAGCAAGAATCTATTCAGTCCCCCCTAGGACCCTAGGCACCCGATTAAAAGGCACACCTACACGACAAGATACTATACCTAACTTACGTAAATTAACGGAGCTTGAAGAGGAGAAGCTAGTTGAGTATATCCTCGACCTGGATTCCCGATCGTTTCCTCCCCGGATCAGTAATATAGACGAAATAGCCAATCGATTGCTCGCCGACCGCGACGCGCCCTCAGTTAGGAAGCGCTAGGCTTCAAACTTCGTTAAACAACAACCACAGCTCCGGACGCGCTTTTTTCGCAAATACGACTATAAGAGAGCCCAATACGAAGATCCAGACGCGATAAATGCGTGGTTTCGGCTTATAGCGAACACAATCGCAAAATACGGCATTATAGACTCCAATATCTACAACTTCGACGAGACTGGGTTTATGATGGGCCAGATTGCATCCGGGTGTTACGCCCGCCGCAACTTGTCACTGTGGGCGCGTAGCTATATATGCAGAACGAGGGACAATGATGACCGGAGTCATCATTATCGAAGCTTTTGCTTTGTGCCACAGTTGGTTGCCTTGTCCAGCTCGTAACACCGGGATGGTCGTTACGAGTGCCAAAAGGCGTTCAAATACAAAAATGATGTAGCCTAGTAATCGTGAATAGGTTATAGTTATTCAGGCCATCAGTTCGTCAGGCTATAGCGTTCTGCCGTACATTATCGTTGTAGGCTAATATCATCTCTCCACCTGGTATATAGAAATAGATCTCCTACGTAACTAGGTCATCGTAACGTTTGAAAACGGATGGATAACAAATGAAAGAGGCCTAGACTGGCTCTAGCACTTTGATCGGTATATAAAACCGCGTATAACTAGCAATTATCGCCTCCTCGTTGTCGATAGGTATGAAAGTCACCACTCTACGGACTTTGAGATATATTGTAAGGAAAACAATATCGTTATACTCTACAAGCCGGCCTATTTGTCTCATCTACTTCAGCCCTTAGACGTTGGGTATTTTAGGCCATTAAAGACGGCTTATAGTCGACAAATTAAAGATAAGATGCGCCGGGGTAATACCTATATTATAAAGGAGGACTTCTTCCCTATATTTCACAACGCTTTTACACAAGCCCTAACGGTAAAAAAACATCCAGGGAGGCTTCAGAGGGGCCGGGCTTGTTCTTTTAAGTACCGAAAGTATACTTTCGAAGCTTAATGTCAAGTTACACACTCCAACACCCCCCGCGTGGACTTCTCAGACGCCAAATAACCCAACAGAGGCCTCTTCTCAGTCCGAACTTATCAAAAGGAGGATCTCCCGCCATCAAAATAGCTCCCCAACTTCAATTACTGAAGCTGTAGAGTATTTATCAAAGGGAGCGCGGGGATTTATGCACCAGATTGCCTTATTAAGGTCGGAGGTCCAGATCCTCCGGGAGGAAAATAACCTACTTAGCCGACGCAGGAGGGCTAAGAAAACACGTCTCAGACAAGGAGCAAGTCTTACTGTAGCTGAGGCAGAGGACATTCAGTTGTTGAAGTGCGGAAGTGGAATTGGGCGGGTATGCTCGGACCAGAACGAGCAATCTGGACCCATAATAATCTGGGTGAGACCAACCAATGAAAATGCAGGAATCCAGGTGCCTCAGATAAGGGATACTCCTGGCTGCATCTGGAAAGGAGAGAACAGAACATAGACAAAAAAATGATCACGATAATCCACGACAGTAATACGCTTTAATACTTCCGAGATCGCTGATCCATGCCTATCAAGGTGCGGAGATAGTCGGTTGGAGCTGGCACGCCATCAAGAATCGGATTATTTCGACCCAACATGCATAACCAAGACCAGGACCTGCCCCGTAGGCTCGCAGCGGCTACAGTTGTCGTGGATAATCGTGATCATATTGTTGTCTATGTTGTGTTCTCTCCTTTCCAGATGCAGCCAGGAGTATCCCTTATCTGAGGCACCTGGATTCCTGCATTTTCATTGGTTGGTCTCACCCAGATTATTATGGGTCCAGATTGCTCGTTCTGGTCCGAGCATACCCGCCCAATTCCACTTCCGCACTTCAACAATTACTCCCCGCCTCTCACAGCGTCACGACGTTCCACATCATCTGAGTTGACAAGAAAAGCAAACGAGTGAGAAGTAAAGCATTATGTCTGAACCAAGATCGGTCGCTATCGTGGGCGGTACGTGCAGCGATTACAATAGTATTTCGCAAACAAACGATTGATTTCCATCAGCTGGCATTTTTGGCCTCTCTTTAGCCGTTGCTCTAAGCAAACGTGGTAAGCGCAATGGACTACCATACCTAGATATGGTACTCAAACTAATACTCCAGTCATTTCTCAGAGCACCGCGTGGTTGTCTTCGACAGATACCGTTATGACGAGACGCACTACGAGCCCGACTTGAATGGAAATACGCAGGCTGCGTCGGTAGATCACAACAAGATCGTAAGTTCGCTAGAGATAAGATCGAGAGCACAAGTCAAGTTGTACTCAAATTGTCATCTCTAGTTTCGAGCTTCTTATGGAAGTAAGCTCCATTACCAACGTCTCGCGTTCGAAAGTCGCGCTGCATGGGAGATGATCAACGAGAAAAGACACCAAGAGAATGATGAGCTCGATCGATCAGATCTTTTCAGCGGGTGCGGCATGCTCCGAGTTCAGCCCACCGCTGAACTCGATCCACTTGAGCATGAGACACTGAGCAACTTTGAACGAGACGGCCTCAGAGATACTCAATTCGTCAAAAGCGTTCAGACTGATCGAGGTCGAGCGGCTGAGCGTGGATGGGAGGGGAAGCTTCTGGATTTCGAAATCCCACAGGCATCACCTGCTCAAACTTACGAAGCCGTTTTGGACTCAACTGCCGGGTTCACGAAATGTAGTGAAGCCTGCGCTTATTTTTACAAGTTGGCCCTCCGACAGGGCGTTGAGTTTCACTTTGGCCCCGAGAAGGGTGCCTTTGACAGTATTGTTGAGGACAATCAGTCGCCATCACACCTCAAGAAGGCAGTCGGGATCAAAACCAAAGACGGAATCGTTCACAAAGCGGACGTCGTGGCCATTGCCGGTATACATACTCTTTTCTGCAATGACCTCCGAGGTTGCGCCACTAATGATCAAAAGCCGGATCCTTCTCAACGCAGCTGTTGCCCGATTTATCTTACCACCTCGAGTCTTCTGCAGGAAGCGTAGTCACCTTCAAGGTGGACAAGAACGACGCGAATCTGTGGAACAAGTACTCCCCTGAACGCTTCCCAGTCATTACCTGGAGGAGTGCCCCGCGCAACCCGAGCGGCAAAGACACAGGCAGTGTTTATGTCTTTCCTCGGACTGCCGATGGTCTCATCAAGATCGGATTCCGAGGCATCAAGGTACTTGTTCGTCGCCTCTTTCGCGCGAATCAGGCTAAAAAGAGACCCCCTAGTTCACCAACTTCCAACATGCGCCCTCGGAGGCGGGCTTCACTCAGGACGGCCAATGGAGTGTCCCTCTCCCGCCTGCTAACTGTGGCATAGTCCCAGACCCTGCAAGAGAGGCCATCCGAAAGTTCGTCTCCATCTTCCTTCCGGAGTTCGCCGATAAGGACTTCAATTCGACTAAGCTATGCTGGTATACCGACTCACTGGACAACTCATTTGTCGTGAGTAAACTCTACACTGGATCAAATTTGTTCACTTGCTGACCTCTATAGATTGACCATGTTCCTACTTATTCTGAAGGATCTGTCTTCGTTGCAACCGGGGGCAGTGGACATGGGGCCAAGTTTCTTCCCGTTCTTGGCGAGGTGGGTAGCAAAAGCTTCGCTTTTCTTGGCGTAAAGTGGACCGACTGACAATATCTACACAGCATGCAGCCGACATTTTAATACATGGGGACCAAAGTTCCTCATTCATGAGGCAGCACTGGTGCTGGAGAGACAAAACTCACAGGGGCAACGGCCTAGAGGAGGGGCCTGACGGACCGAGAAACATTGGAGGATCAAAGGAGGCTTAGTCACTTGAAGGGCATGCGAATCAATGACATTGTGCTTGGTCTCGCAAGTCCACCTCCCAAATTGATCACGGTCAACATACATTCTCGGATTCTTCGGTCTTCAGGTCGCATGCCGTATTCGTACATACTCTTGAGCTGTGTGGAACATGCTCCACGAAGCGAGGAATTAAGCCGCATCCCTCGACCCTTTCTGAGCACGGTAGTGACATCCCGTCAACACGAAACTCATAATTTCAACCTATCAAAGACGACACCACTTCGGGCCGGTCGCCAAGAATGCTTGTTGTCCGAGAGTCCAGAGTCTCAGATCGGAATTATGACCTAAAAGAATGATAGCTTACGTCTTCCGATGGATGAACTTGCTGGTTGCATGGAGATCTGCGCGGGCCGCAGAGGCAGTGAGCAACCTTGATGTCCTCGTTTTCACCCCCATGCCCCCTTCCCATGCATCACCATAGCTGCTCACGGAAATTGATTTCATTTGCTGCTTGTTTTTTCACCTGACTGGCTATGAGAAAAACCTCACTCGGATTTCACCGAGTGCCTTTCAGCCGGTCGGGGACGATTCCAATCCTTGTTTCTGGCCACCTCTGCGGTCCATTCTCTGCAGATACGATGACCTGCAAAACACGAATTAAACCGTCTAGAATTCAGTTATTTCCCCAAAGTCATGGAAATCGAGTTTGACTCTCCCTAGACCACTCTATTCAAAACATTCTTTGACTTGGGGGTACCATATCGAAGCCCTCAAGATGTCAAGCGAAACAGATCATGAGAAAAGGATTTTTGATGGTGGTTCTTACTCTCGTTCAAAAACCGGGCACAGGCCAATCATTCAGGGAGAAGCGAGGTCTCCAGGAACACACGCAGAACACCAACATGCCGTCACCAAAGGCGAAGTCGACGATACAACGGTTTTCTACAACCTCAACAAAGACACAGCTGGGCCTCTAGCACCAGGATCTGAGAAGAGGCTTGTGCAAAAGAACTTTTGGTTTCTCCTAGGACAGACATGGTGGATTGCCTTCCTCATCCATCTGGATAAGTCAACTTTGTCGCAAGCCAGTACTATGGGCATCTTCAAGGATGTCGAGATGACGAAAAAGCAGTACAATGATCTCTTTGTAGTCTTATACACCGGCTACTCATTGCTCTCTGGCCCGGTGCCTGCTTGTCCCAGCGCACCGGTCAAAAGCAATTCATCGTCGGCTCTCTGTTACTCTGGGCTTTCTTGCTCGGCATGCACCCACTTGCGAAGACAGGAGGGCAGCTTATGGCTCTCCGATTTATCCTTGGCATGGTATGTTGGCCTTTCTCAATTTGTAAGCATCGTATGGCTTCTTTGCTGACCTTCCCAACAACTTCAGACCGAGTCCCAGATCGTTCCGAGTACCACAATCCTTCACCAAGCATTTTTCCCTCCCAAGAAAAGCCCCTGGGTACAACTTCTATGGTGGGCTTCAGGAAGCCTGGCCAACGTTTTGCTTACCATGGTCGCCTACAAGCTCATTCTTCTGGACGATAGTCAAGCTCTTGTCGGTGGCCTTTTGTCAAGTTGGGGGTGTTGACGCAGGGTGGAAGCTCTCAAAGGCCAACTACAGTTAGGGGTAGAATGATGAATTACTGAAATCTGCTCCTCCCTCGACGTGTACTCCCTGCGCTGTATATATATCTGAGCTGCTCCTTTGTTGCTTGGACTCCTTACTACCTCTAACTAGCCCCCATCCGCGAGGGCTCTGACAATGTTTAAGGAGGCTAGGTCGAGAGTATACCCGCGGTTATAGGTAGGAGCCCCTGCCTCCCCTATAAAGTAGAGGTCATAGTTATCTACCTAGGCGGCAAGTTCGTTCCCACCGTTCTGGCTAGTAGACCCTAGTTCCCAGGATAGGTAGCGGGCATTAAAGTCCCTAGCTATAAGGGCTCTCTCCGGCACTATACCTTAGTAGTATAGCCGTTATGTCGTTGTTAGGGCCTCTCTATGGCCTATAGACGTTGACGATCGTCTGTCTGTCTACTCTAAGCCATAGAATATCCCTTGTCTGGATAGGTCTCTGTTACTGAACCTTCAGCCTTATCCCCATCCGTATATAGGTCATGACCCGAGGCCTAGTCTCCGTACTATTCCAGTAGTCCACTGGGACGTATGACATAAAGCCTGGGTGTATATTGATTTGAATCCTGTCGATATAACCTATCCAGGGTTCCTGGACAACCACTACATGAACCTGATCTGCCCAGCAGAGCTCTAGTAGAGCCGTGTATGCTGGGGGTATCTTTCCCACGTTACACTAGGCTACGCGTAGTACCCGTAGGGAGGCCCTACTTGGCCTATACCTCTGAGTCGAGGTCCAGGTGGATATAGGTATTATTAACGTTATAATCAGGCTTCTGGGCTAACCTCCTGCCTAGAAGCGGCAGGATAGGGCGGTTAGAAGGGCGGTTAGCTGGCAAGGGGGACTTAGGCCTTCAGCCTCGTCTTTATCTATACTATCGCTGCTCGATGTACTTATATCGCCTGCTACAACGATTAAGTCCTGGGTAGGTATAAGAGAGCGTAGGCGTTTGGATCTAGGCTATTGTATCTATCTAGGGGTTGCCAAAGAGACGGAAGCCCTCCTTAGCCTCTTAAGGGAGGGCAACAATTATGCTTTGTATAGCTATGGCTAGATTAGGGCTAGCTCGGGTTAGTCGCCAGGATAGGAGCCTCTGTTTCGTCCGTAAGAGGACCTCCTCCTTAATTTCTGTCCCCACGCCAATCCTACTACTATTAAGGCCTATAAAGTAGAGCGGATAGAATGGGATAATATACTGGTGCCACTTAGTAGGCACCTCGACCTTCTTAGCTATAAGATAGCTTCTGATCTCTGGGGCCCTCTATAGAAGCAGGGCTTAGATCTCCTGATTCCGGGGCCCAAGGGAGAATCTAGTTATAATATGCCGGACCTCTATAAGATCCTGCGGCTATAGGCTGAGTTCCTTTATTACTACTATCTTAACTGTGTGAGGTGCAAGGGTCCTAGACGTAAGTGTTGAGAGTGCAGCCCGGGTTTGCTCAACGTAGGGGTGACTTCTGATTGAGAATCTAAGCTAAGGTAGAAAGAGGGAATAACGCTGTTCGACCGTTGATTAAGTGTGCGCGATTGTGGGGAAAGCAGGGTCGGTCCGGCGTAGCCCGGACCCATATATCGTGAGCGTAGCCCGTAACAGTAAGGATATATTCTTCTAGGAGCCGGACTAGAAAGCGAAGGTCAGGGGCCTGTTTCTGCTACTGTACAGGATTAAGACGTCTAATACTCTGGGTGGGCTGTCGGCCCGGTATGGGGTTTGGCCTGGGGGGCGGGCCCGGAGTAGGGCCGGAGTTAGCGGCGGCCTAGGCGTACGTTTGTCCGGGACCGGGGGTAGGCCCCGAAAATTCTGCAGCTGCAAAGCGGGTAAAAGAATTAATTAGGCCCTGGGCTATTACCCTTAGCCGGGCTGGGGCTATACCAATAAGGGTATCTAGCCCTTGCGCGAGAAGGTCTAGGGCCTCGTCTCGGAGGGCCCGACCCTCTCGGGCCTATTACAGGGCGGTGGTAGCCGTCTATAACTATCTTCCTAAAGGCCGGATAGGGGGAGGCGTTATACCGCGGGGTCGTGGGAGTAGAGAGGTAGGGGTAGAGGAGTCTATAGGAGACTATGTATAGAGGATAGATGGCCGTTATGGGCCCGCGGGGTGCCCGCGGCTGGCTATGAGGCCATTGCGGGCAGGTTGCTCGTGTAAAGAGGTTGCGACTTGGTTGTTAGTGTTGTGGGGTAGGGCCCAGCGCAGCACTAATAGTGGGTGCTAGCGGGGCGACGTGTAGAAGGGAAGTTGAGGATAACATTACATACCCGTCTTACCCTGAGTCTAGCCCAGATCAATCTCAATAATAGGTAAGTACCAAAACAAAGGTCACCTCTCCAATCCGCACAATCCCACAATCACTTCTGTAGCCATTGAATCTCTACAATGTTTTCGTCAAAGTTGCCCTCGCCAGTCAAACATTCCACAAAAGCACATCCTGGCACGCCATCGTAAGTTAACAATAAACCTCACGTGCAGGCGCCCCCGGTTCCGTGACCTTCCAACAGCGCATCACGCACTCTCGTTGGCCAAAGCAGCGGTCATGCTGTCCTCGACGAAGCTCGCCAGCGCCGTCAGTGACTTCTTGGGGCTCATGATATCCAAGAACGGCACGTCGACCTTGAAAGTCGTCCAGAACCAGGTGCGGTACTCGGCCGCAATCATACTGTCCAGGCCGAACTGGGGGAGGGCCTTGTCGTCGTCGATCTTCTCGATGGGCAGCAGGATCAGGTTGGAGAAGCGCTTGCGCGCCAACCGCAACACGGCGTCGGAGAGAGTAGGGGCGTCCGCCTCGGCGGCCAAGGCGTTGGCCGCAGCACCCGCAGGCAGGGCCTTGAGCCACGCCGGGGCGGCAGTCAAGCTGACGGCGACGGCGGAGGAGGAGGCGTCCTTGCTCGCCTCCTGGTCGGCGAAGAGGGCGGCGGCGAGGAAACCGCAGCGCGGATCCTGCGTCGTTCCGTTCTCCACGTCGAAGCCCTTTCTGATGAGCTCACGAAGCCCGAAGGGCTCCAGTCCGGTCAGGATGTGCGGCGCGGTGGCGCCGGGCGCCAGGGCGAAATCGACGACCTGTAGGAACTCATTCTCATTGAGCGGTTGGATGCCCTTACGGAGGAGGAGGGCTTCGATCTCGGGGTTCTCGTGCAGGTAGCCCACTTCGGAGATCATGCCGAGGCCGACCGCGACCGCGGGCTTGCCGGATCTGCGGCGGCCCCGGGCGAAGGCGTCCAGGAAGCCGTTGGCGGCGCAGTAGTTGCTCTCGGTTGCGGTGCCCACGCTGCCGCTCACCGAGGACGTGAGCAGGAAGAAGTCCAGGTGCGCGTCGCGGCCGTCGCGTGCCAAGGAGCGGTCCAGGTTCCACGAACCCGCCCACTTCGGCTGGATCCCCGTGTGCCACGCCTTGTGCGTCATGCTGGAGAAGAGAGCCTCGCTCAGGCCCATGGCGGCTTGGACCACGCCGCCGATGAGGCGGCCAGAGCAGGCGTCGACGGAGGCATCGACGTCTTCTTGGTTGGACACATCGCCGCGCACCACCTCTACAGATGCACCGGCTCCGAGGAGCCGATCCACGAGGCTCCGGGCCTCGGGCCTGTCGCTGCCAGAGCGGCCGAGGAAGACGAAGTGGCGAGCACCTCGCGACATCATCCATCGGCTCAGACTGCGGCCGAGGCCGCCCAAGCATCCGACGAGCAGGTAGACCTTCTCGGGATCAAGGGTTGTCTGATACAATGTAGGCATGACCTGCTGACTGTTAGCGTTGCGTTTCTCTACGTGGCCTGCCAACCCATGCGAGTAGAACAGGGGGCCCGGAGACCTGGTGGGGGGGCATCGTATGGTGAGGCGTACCGGAATAAGGCTGCTTGAGTCCTGCATGGATACCACGACTTTGCCGATGCGATCTTTCCCGGAAAAGAAGCGGTATGCTTGCGATAGCTTCGAAACGTCATATGTGGTGATCGGGACCGGCCTGATTGCTCCTATGCGATACAGCTCGAGCGCCTCCTTTGTTTTACTGGGAATGGTCAGCCTGATAGTTCGCGAAGCACACTTGGAGGGAACTGCTGTGGGCCGTCCATTACTGGGGAGGGAACAAGGGGAGGAGTCCGAACAGCATGGAGAGGAAGCCGAAGAAGCCACTTACTTGATCCAGATATCGCGGTAGAACTGGTCTTTGTGGAAGAACAGTTCGGTAAGATCGAAGGCGGTGAAAGAGCAGTTACGCGTGAAGACGTGCATGTCGAGCTTGCCGGCGTCGACAAGCTCACGCTTGCCGACCTCGACGAAACGGCCAAAGTCTGCTATGCAGTCCCAGCTGTCATGCATGAGATCCCCAACGAGCGAGTTAATAACGATGTCAACGCCCCGGCCCCCGGTCGCTGTGTGGATGCCCCGAACAAAGGAGGCATCCCTCGAGCTAAAGATGTTCTCGGCCGGGAGACCGAGCTTGCGTACAAGGTGCTCCTTCTTGGCCGGAGACCCAACGGTCGCGTACACGACAGCTCCGATACGCTGCGCCAGCATGATGGTGGCCATCCCGAAAGCCCCCGCGCCGCTGTGCACGAGAATCGACTCCCCCGGCCGTATGTGGGCTCGGTCGTGGAGGGCGTACAGGGCCGTACCGAACGCCACGGGCAAGGTCGGCATCACGCAAAAGTCTTCAGACGGCAGCATCTTATGCGCCGCCCAGCTCGGCACGCGCTCGACCGTGGCAAAGCGGTTCGGCGCCAGGACGACGGCGTGGTCGCCGGGTGCGAGATGCGTCACGCCCTCGCCGACCGAGACGACAACGCCCGAGAACTCGATGGCGGCCGTACCGGTGCGTGTTTCGACGCGCCCGCTGACCGTGTAGATGTCCTTGGCGTTGAGGCTGACGGCGGATGTGCGAATGTCGACGAGGCCCGGAGGCGTTGAAGCACCGCCGGGCAACGTGGCTTCCTGTGCGAAATGGAGCGTGTCCATCTGCCCGACGCTTCCGATGGCCAGGCGCGCCAGGCCAACTTCACCGAGTGCTACACGCTCCAGAGGCTCGTTCGGGTCCACGCGTCGTCGGAAGAGGCTGTTGCTGGCCCTGTCGGCCACGAATCGACTGATGTGTAGGACACCGTTGCTCTGACAGAACTCCTTGTCGTCCATGTCATCGGCAGGCACCAACGCGGCGGCTAGATTGGCGCACAAGGCATCGAGCGAGGCCTCGTCTGCATTGGCAGAAGCGGAAGATCCCACATCAAGCACCGTATATCGCAAAGACGGCTGTTCAAGCATGAGTGCTCGAGACAACCCCGAAGAGAGAGTCAGGTTTGGGTCTGGGCTGGCGCCCAACATGCCGGCCCCCGTCAGCCAGATCAGATCAGTTGCGACGTCGGTCACACAGCGCAGCTGGTCCATGTTTTTCGAGCTCATGGTGGCAAGAAACTCTGCCCTCAGCTCAAGCAAAGAAATGTAGACGTCCGACGGGGACGGCGCCGCGCCTGATTCCTCGATGTCGTCGAGCGTGGTAACCCGGACGTCACCGAACACCGGATGTTGGGTCTTCAGGTGCTTCGCAAGCGCATGACCCAAATGGCCTGAAGAATCTGGATCGCCAGGGCGCACAAGAATGACTGCGTTGCGCTTGGCCAGCGAGGAGAGCGATAGAGGACGCAGACCAACAAGCACACCCCGGCCGACGTCGATGACAGAGAGACCAGCGCGCTGCAGAACCTCTGAAGCGCCTGCGACCTTGCGCATGATGACCACGCCACCGTTCGAATTCATCAGATTGACGATTGATGCAGCAAGCTTTATATAATGCGATGAGGCGTCGAGCTAGATATTGTGTGGTCAGCTCTATTCACTACTGTGCTCAGACGGAGAAGACGGGGGGAGGGAAGGGGATGCTCGAGGAGTTGGCGGACAAGTCACATGAATGACGATCCAATGGCAAAGTAACTTACCCCGGGAATGACCACTGTGTCAAAGGAACTGGACTCGGTCGTAGTCGCTTGGAGCTTGCCCTCAGCATCCAGCTCACCTCCAATCCAGGACGCACAGCGGGGAAACGTCGTGTCGGCTTCCAATGCCTTGAGCCAGCGCTTGACTTGACAATCTCCATCAGCGCCGCCGAGCTCCAGCACGCTCATCTTGGGGTTTTTGAAGCTGGCCAAGTCGATCATCGCGACGATGTAAGCCATGCTAGCATGGTCATTCAAGTCGGCAGGGAACCCTTCGATGACCTGTTCAAGATACTGCTTAATCTCGGCCGTGTTTCCTGACTGGAGACGGACAATATCGGGCTTCCAGCGCACGCTCAGGCATGGTTCTCGCTTCATGGAGCTCGCGTCAGCAGGCGCATTGCCAATGGCCGCGCCATCATTGTCGGCAACCGGGGCAACCGGGCCGTTGCTGTACAGAGAGAGCTTCACGCCTTCCATATCAACAAGGGCGTTTCCGCTGCTGCTTTGAATAAGCGTACAATCAATCTGCTTCGTGCCGAAGCCTGTTGTGCGAGTGCGGGTATGGATCGCCGCGTTTTCGGGGTCGTGCTCACGAAGGGTCCCCGGTACCCGGACACGGCACGACTTGATGAACACGGGCAGGTATGCGCGCAGGCTGTTGAGGTCCCCGGCCGTGCCCCCGAAGATTCCGGCCTGAAGACAGGCGTCGATGACGAGAGGGTGCAACGGATACTTCGTCGCGTTGTGCTGGCCGGTCCGCTGGAAGAGTCTGGTGGTCGCGATGGCGTCAGGCCGGGTCCTGGCCCCGTCTGTGGTCATGGCCGTAATGGACTGGAAGTCTGGCCCGAAGCAGAGCCCGGCCTCGGCCAGTCTGGCATACCACCGGCTCATCGAGCCCCAGGTCTCGTACCCACCCATGTCCTGGACCGAGACGAGGCCACTCCGGGATGACACTCCGTCTTCGTCATCCAGAACCCGCACGCTACCGGAGCAGTGTACCGTAGATACGCCAGAATCCCACGACGAGACGGAGAAGTCGAACCACTTGCTCGAAGCTGAAGCCGTCGAGATCTTGCGAGCCGAGAGCGCGGTGTGGATTTCAGCATCACTTTCCTGTTCCGGGACGACCATCGCTGCACCGATATTGACGGTTCTGAACTCGAAGCCGGAACGCAGCTCGGCAATGGGTACACCACGGACTTGGCACAGAGCCTCCATGACGATGCCCAGGTATCCGGTAGCCGGGAAGACTATCTGCGACTCGAGCTTGTGGTCCCGTACCCAAGGCACCTCGGATAATCGGAGCAGGTTCCTCCAGGCGTAGTCAATGCCGTTGCCGGCAAGTTGGCGGGCTCCGAGGAGCTCATGGCGCATGTGCTGGCGGTTGCGTTGCTCGACACTTGGGCGCGGCTCGCTCCAGAGAAGGGAGCCGGTGTAGTCCCATGGGTAGGGCGGCAAGTCGTACAGCGGAACGATGGTGCCCTGTTCGCGGTGGTCGTTGACAGCGGACCATTCCAGCGGGATACCTCGCACGAACAGTTGGCCGGCCAGTTTCTTGATACACGCCTCCGCGTCTTCGCCGCGTAGCAGGGTGGGCGAGAGACGGAAGTCGTGTCCGGACTTCTTGCGCGTCTGCTCGATGGGGCCTTTGAGGGCAGCGTGAGGCCCGACCTCGATGATATGAAGCTTCTTGGCGCTGGCTGTGAGGTTGGTCAGAGCCGCACAGAACTGGACTGCGGTCTCGAGATTTTGGCGCCAGTAGTTGGCAGAGCTTCGGTGCCCAGTGTGATTCAGGACGGCCAGGTTCTCGGCACTGGCGCCTACCGACGAGTACATGGTTGCTCGATGAGAGGGCCCGGCGTTCTCGGCGTCGCTCGGGTCGCTTGCAAACACCGGCGCAAGCATGTCTTCGTACAACGCACCCACCTCCTTCATCATGTGAGAATGATACGCCCTTCCGCCGGTCTTCAGGACTCGGACGAACTTCCCGCGCTCCTGCAGGATCTTGGCCAGCAAATTGATGGCATCGAGTTCGCCACTCAGCGTCACGCTCTCCGGTGCGTTGATACACGCGACGCAGACACGGCCTGGCAGCCCTTCCGTCCTGGCAATCAGGTCAGCCGCTTCCTCTGCCGCCAAGTCAGTCGCGAGCATGCCGCCCCGGCTTTGCAGTCTGCCGACAGCTTGTCCCCGAAGGTAGGCGACTTTGATGGCTTGAGCTGCCGAAAGCTGGCCCGCGGCATAGGCGGCTGCAATCTCGCCCGACGAGTGGCCGACAACGGCTTCGGGGAAGACATTCCAGTCCGCCAAAAGGTCTATCAGTGCAACCTGCACGGCTGTACAGATGGGCTGACTGCGGGTCACGTCGTTGATCATGCTCGTCTCCGGCGGATCCAGCAACGTTTGTTCGAGGGTCCAGGCTGGCCTGGAGCCCCGGCCGTCTTGATCCTGTTCCGGGAGGTCTTGGAGTATGCGGTCAAGTCCCTGGATCGAGGCGCGGAAAGAGGCGTTGTTCAGAAGAAGCTCACGGCCCATCCCCGCGTACTGTGCTCCCTGCCCCGTAAAGACGAATGCAAAAGGCGGTGGGGATGCCGCCGGCCTCTCGTCAGGGCTGAAGACGTCGGTGACGAGTTCTTCGTCATGTGTCTTGCTAACAATCATAGAAGCCCGATACTTCTGGTGAGAGCGGTGCTTTGCCAAGGTGTTGGCCAACGCCGGCAGCGTAGCGGTGGCGTGGTTCTTGACATATTGCGTGATCTGTTGAATTCGCTGGTCCAAAGACCACTGAGAGTTTGCGGAGATGGGAAGCACGAAAGGACGGCCCAAATACGCAGACGCGTTGGACTCGGAGTCGGAAGCGGATGACAGCGTTCTTGGTTCCGGCATGGTCCCATCGAGGCCTGACAAGTAGCTCTCTGGCGCTTCCATAATCACGTGGGCGTTCGCGCCGCCGTAGCCGAAGGAGTTGATGCTAGCTCTTCGCAGGGATCGAGGCCATGCCGACATTTCGTTGACCACCTGGAGATTAAACACATCCAGGTTGACTTTGAGTCCGGACATGTAAGTCAGCGTCTGAAGCTTGCGGCATAGGGAGGGCTTGTTTATTCGTAGGAGGGAAGGGGGCGATAGAGCATAGAAGGTCGAACCGGGACATATGAGGCCGACTCACGTTTGGGATTCAATTTGGTGACTCCGTAGGTGGGGGGAATCATCTCTTTCTCAAAGGATAAGACGGCCTTGATCACAGCGGATAGACCGCTGGCGGCCTCACTGTGGCCGATGTTGGTTTTGACCTGTCGCCTTCTCGTCAGCATTGCGCGGCTCGTTCGTAACCTCGTTAATCTCAGGGTACCCCATGGAATAATGCATGATGGGCTTGAGTATCTCCGATATCATTCCTGAAAGGGGCAGGGGGCCAAAGGGAAGAATGGGTGTTGCGGCCAGAACATACCGCACCAATCATCAATGGTGAGTCGCCATCCCTGGCGAAGGACTTTCCGATCCCCTCTACTTCAATGGGATCTCCAACTGCGGTACCGGTACCGTGGCACTCGACGTAGTCGGTATCGGCCATGCGAAGGCCTGCATTGGCGTACGCCTTGCGGATCACGGCCGCCTGCATGGCGGCGCTGGGTTGCGTGATGCCGTTTGTCCTTCCATTGGCGTTGACTACCGCGTTGCAGCAACGGTCAGTACTTGCGGTCTTCCACGGCATCAGAGTCGCGATGCGGCTACTTACTGGCGGTGCCGCGGATCACAGCGCGGATGTGGTCGCCATCCCGCAGAGCTCGCGAGAGCGGTTTGATGTAGACGGCGTTGACCGCCTCGGCTCGGCCATAGCCATCTGCCGAGGCGTCGAAGGTATGGCATGTAGACGTGGGCGACAGCACACCGCCTTTCATCGTGCCGAGGTGCTGTTCGACGGACGTGATGAGATTGGCCCCGGCCACGATTGCAGCCTCGCAGTCGCCATTTCTCAGTGCCATAACAGCGTTATGCAGGCCGTAAATGGACGAAGAGCACGCGGTGTCTAGGGTGAAGCTGGGCCCGCGAAGGTCGAAAACATGGCTGATACGGTTGGCCATGATGGCGGTGCCGGATCCCGTCGCGCTGTAGCGGTGGAGGTAATCCGGGTCCCTGGTCTGCATGGTCTGATAGTCGACGGTGAAGTTGCCGACATAAACGGCCGTGTCAGACCCCATGACCGCCTCCATTGAGAGACCGGCGTTTTCGAGACACTCGTATGTCACTTCGAGCAGCTTCCTCTGTTGAGGATCCATGTATGTCGCCTCGAGGTTGTTCAGCCCGAACACTTCGTTGTCGAACTTCCGGACGTCTTCGTCAAGGAAGTAACCTCCATCTGCGTCCATGACACCCGCACGCTTACCGTCTGCGTGGTAATAACCGGCCATGTTGAAGCGCTCGGGGGGGACCCGGCCTTGTGTCGTCTTCTTCGCCTTCAGAAGCTCCCATAGGTCGGATGGGGAACGTATGCCTCCTGGGAGACGGCATGCTGTGAAACGTTAGACGGTTGAGCCGCACAACGTGGACCAAGAGCCGCACCTATGCCAATGATGCACGCAGGGTCATCTTTCAACTCGAAGTCCGGTTGAGGATAGCGATTGTTGGTGGACGAGTGGAAACGGCCGTCGACGCTCACTGCGGGAGAGGCTTCTTCCGTGGTTCGTGATCCGCCACTGCTTTCAGCAGCCTTCAGCTCCGTTATACTGACGACCGTTGGGTCAGTGGCAGGCAGCTTGACACCATTAAGGTATAAGCGATCTTCTTGCATCATGGCCTGCATATTTCTCGCAAGTCTAACGTCGATGGTAAGGTGCGATCTGATGTGATTATCGCTGTACAATTAGCGAGTAGAAAACAGCGGCAATGGCTACTTCATGGTTTTTGTGCAGCTCGCCGGTTTCTAAATGAATTGTATCTCAAGGCCTTTGTAATAAGTGATGATATGTTCATGTCTGCAAACACCACTTCTATTTGGGAAAACGGGATAGCACACCGAGACCTTGGTCCGAAGCGCGAGGCCTCTCAGCTGCGCGTTCCACCTTCCGAAGTTGATGCCGCTGGGTACCAGATCTGCACAAATCGTCATGCAGAGACGCAGGGACTATCGCGTATCGATGTCTTTGCATGCTGTTCTGCCTGATGGCTTTGCCGCACATTTCGGGTATGTGGTCTCATGCATCGGTGTTGCTTCATTCGGGCTCTCCTGCATCCCCGAGGCGGGGAACACCGGGCTTACACGGGAACTCGAGTTCCACCCTAGCCTATGATGAGAATCTGTCAGCTTCAAGGCCTCTTACATGTTTACACCAGCTGGAGACTGTTTGATGTTTCGTCGGCGCGCTTGAGTTTCGTTGGATATCTGGAGCAACCCCGGCCGCTGCAGCGGATGTACCAATCTCCCACGACGCGACTCAAAAGCGCATATGCACTCTAAGGAGACCAGTTCAACTGGATCGCGATTCCATCCGTGTTCTAGCCCAGACACTCAGCCCAGAGCCCACGTAAAGCTTTTTTCGACCCAGTTGACAACAAGCTACGATCCAAGTTCATCACACAGAAGCCTCGAGGCAGACAATGGCGACCAAGGAAAGATTTGCGTTGGTCACAGGGTTCGTGCGTATCTTTTCATGGATAATTCGTACAAGGCTTTTAGCTAAGGCGTAGGTTGGTTGGCCTGCGTAGATGTGGGAAAGGCGGAATAGGCGAGGCGCTCGTGGTAGAGTACAAACGGCAGGGCCTCCGGCCCGTCGCAACATTGCTCCCGTTCGAGGACAGCCAACATCTAGATGATGCGGGAACCATGTGGTTCCCGCTCGACGTAACGCAAGAAGACTCGGTTCGCGAGCTGAAGAATCACATGTTAGAGCTCACAGGAGGTTCCCTCGACGTCCTCGTCAACAATGCGTTAGTCATACCGACTTCTTCATGCGCTCATGACTATTATCAGTTGGATTGGACAGAAAGCTGACTTGTCATACTTCGTAGCGGAATATGTAAGGCATCGAATGTATTGAAAGCGTGTTACTACCGTGCTAACCTCGCCTACAGGCTATACCATGACGGCGATAGACACTGATGTGGCCGCTGTTGCCAAAATGTTCGATGTCAACGTCTTCGGGCCTATGCGTATGGTGCACCACTTCCACGACATGCTCATCCAATCTTCTGGCACAATTGTCAGTATTGGGTCAGTCGGCGGCATCGTGCCCTACGTCTATGGATGCAAGTTCCCCGCTCAATATCCTGACGTTGTGCCTGCTATATTGTACGTCCCTGACGCCTGTGTCTCCAGCCGCGTACAACGCCACGAAAGCCGCCCTTCATCACTGGTCGAATACACTACGGGTTGAAATGGAACCGCTGGGGTATGTGAGACCCGGGAGCAACATAGGAAGATACAGGCTGACTGGGAGGTGCTGCAGTGTCAAGGTCGTCATAGTAAGACGACATGCACTTCAACTCTTTGCGTCCCCCTCCACCACTGTCGTACGGTTCTGACTGGGGCTTCTCACTGTAGATCATTTCTGGTAACATCGGAACAAACATACTCAAGGGCGATCAAGGCGTGGGAAGAGAGCTCAGAAAGGGTCGGTGACTTCCAGTCTTCCGGCGAGGTTGAGTAGCTAACGAAACAATAGGATCCTACTTTTCACCATTGGCTCAGGAGTTCAAGGACCATGTTAACAGAGTTCCCGGTGAGCAAACACCTCTTTATCCGGATAGCAGCTGCCGCTTCGAACCTTGAACTGCACACTCATCACGGATCATAGACACGACAGATCGTTTCCAGTACGCCTCAAAGGTCGTCCAACAAAGCCTGCGATCTGCACCCCCGGCTTGGTTTTGGTACGGCAAGACGACTCGGATTGTGCGTTTTCTCGACTCTTTCGCTTGGCGGAACGTTTGGGTATGTGTTTACCGGCTCTTCCGTCCCACACATGTGGCCACTGGGCTCAACGGGTCGCTAACGTAGAAGACGCGAAAACGTAGGACGGATTCATGTGGAACATGTTCAATTTCAAAAAGTTACAGGCCGCACGGAAATCGCTTTAGTTTGGGAAGTTGGTTGCTGGCCGTTGGCTGTAGTCAAGGACACCTAGTTATAGGATGGTATTTTCTTCCGTGGAGAAACACGTTTTGTTGGAGTAGCACTCAGGGACGACCGTACGACAATCCCATGAGCCAGGGATTAGTGATCTGGGATTTGTGTTTGGACCCTCGGACCGAGAAGGGATTATCTGAAATAATATCTGAAACTAACTGCATCGTATAAGACCAGTATAAATAGCTTGTACGACAGCCAAGTTTACAGTTAGAGAAGACAGCCACAGAATTATGAATCTTTGACTCACCCATATTTACCCCGTACCTGCGTGCACGTACGAAAGCCCACGAACACGTTTTGTATTTTTTCTTTTACTGAATCGTCAGCGATATGTCAGGAACATAAGCAATTATATGCGTTTGCAGCAACTAGCCATGTAAGATCTAAATGGATGGCAGGGCTGACATGCCAATTTGCACCGTCTTTGCACATCGGTAGCGTTGGCAGAGGAAATTACACATACTCTATATGATTTTATCAAGAACGTGGCAACTTCCGTGTGGAGATGAGAAAGTAACCGTGAGCCGGCAGTGCCACTGAGGGATAAATACTCTGAGTTAGGTAGTGGTTAAACGTGGCGAAGATAATGCCAACTGTGCGAGGCATTTGAGCAGATTCGAAGTGAGCGGTTGTTAGACACAGAACAAAGCCACTCAATAGCTTTAGCTTTCACGGCTCATGGAATTTGTTGGTATACACGTCAGCAGGGCAGACCTTTCCGTCGTGACGAGGTCAATAGTACTGTATTGGTCTATTGCGCGTAAGGTGGAAGGAGGAGGAATTGGGCGAAGCCCACGATTCCTCCAGATGTGGTATATAGTGGTAGACCGTAAGGGTTGGCCCGTACGGTACGTACCACCGCCTTCCATATCCATATTTTCTGCCTACTGCCCAGGGATCCAACAGAATTCATTTTACAGTCCCTGTTGCGGTGGTTCGACAATATTTATTTTCCTATGGACACGGCCATTGATGCCGACCTACAATCATTCCGACGGCGACTTCATCGCTCGTACTCCTTCTTAAGATGGCCCAGGAAGCCCTCTACCTTCTCCCCGCCAACCAAGATGTCGTTGCATGGCAGCAAGACCCAGAGCATACGACCCGGCAAGGTGCCGTTGCCAGTGATGTTCTTCCACTTGTGGGAAGTGGCTCGCTGGATGCACACATCGCCCTGCCGCATGATGCGCGACTCGCCCGAGTCCAGAGTCAGCTGGAAAACCCCCTCCAGGACCACGCCATAGTCAACCGAGATGGCCCGGTGTAAGGGCGACTCTATACCCGGGCCGAAGTCGATCATGCGCACGACGGACCCGCTGGGGTAGTGCAGCGGAGGCTATCACGCGATTCGTGCCGTGTTAGAACGTTCTCAATGGCTCTGATCACGACTTGCAGTCGACGGCATACCTCGGTGTCTTGGGCAAACTTCATGTCCGCATTGTCGTTGCACTCGATGGGCGTCTCCTTGGTCGAGTAGAGGATGGTGGCAACGGCCTGGTTCTGGCCCATGACGCGGTGGTGGGAGCCGGAGTCGGTGACGAGGAAAACGGACTTGCCCTCGGCATCGTGGCCTGTGATATGACGACTGGACCTGGGGAGGCCCGGGGCGGGGAAGCCATCGGTGATGAAGCCCTCTGCGCCAGTAGGAGGGCCCTCGTCTTTGCTCGGGGGCACGTGTGATGTAGTAGCCATGATGCTTGAATTGATGTTGGAGGCAGCTTGTGTGTGACGTGTCGGTCGACTGTGTGATAATACAGAGCAAAGGTTATCTGCTAAGTCGAGCACTGTGAGATGGAGAGGAAGAAGAGTCAAGCTTAAGACTGCGCAGCACTTTAATGACAGCATTTACCATGTTTGATTGCAGTAGGAGCTTCCCGGTCACGATATCGGCATTTGCTAACGGCCCCATTGTTGCCGATGCATCGTAGGAACGCGCGCATAGTGCAACAAGCTCGACGATGCTAACGGAGTCTGCAGCCGGCGAGTCGACACCACGATGCAGACTCCGCGTGCCCGAAGTCAGAGCCGAATGCCCGGCCGCGACCTCGCCAGCTGCAGATTCCGTTAGCATCGCCAGCCAGCGATTGCCGGGATTACAAGCACTGCACTGCAGCAGCCCGAGTTAGGTACCTTGCCTCGTTGGAAAGGATGTGTAGGGCCCCAACAAGGCGATGACTAGGCACAGCTTACGTGCCGATCAGAGCAGATCTCTTTCAAGACGGGTATCAAGGCGTATGTTGTCGTGCATCAAGGATCGCAAACTTGAGATGCCCGAACTCGACATGATCACACGAGAAACAGCATGCACATGGCCGTGGTTCAAGAGATGTGCGGTCCATTCGACTCGGTGTATTTCTGTTAGAATCATTCAGGGAGTGTATTGTACATGCTGCTACACCACTGAGCTCTAGCCTCCTCTAGACTTTGGATGTCAGCGTAGTGCCCCCGTCGACGATGAGACCGCAGCCGGTGATGAAGCTGGACCGGGGGCTGCACAGGAAGATGACCGAGTCGGCGATCTCGTCGGCCAGCGCCATGCGACCCATCGGGACGGCCGCCTCGATCATCTTGTCCAGGCCCGGCACGTTGTCAATGGCTTTCTGCACCATGGGCGTCCGTACCCAGGAGGCGCAGATGCAGTTGACGCGTATCCCATGGGCGGCATTATCCAGTGCTAAAGAAAACCCCACAGCTCTGGTCAGCATGCCGTATCAAGTAGGGGGGGGGGGGGGCAGCCCTGTCACCGAGACCCGAGACAGCCCTGCATGCTTGCTGACGGGCGGCGGAGGAGGGCTGACAGAGACACCAACGTCCAGCCAGATACGGGGAAGTTTGATATCGGAAAGGAGGGGGGCAAGACGAACCCGCGTTCTTGGACAAGCCCAGGACGGCGTGCTTGGACGTCGTGTATTGCACCATGCCCGGAGTGGAAACGTAAGACGATGCCGACGCCATGTTGACGATGGCGCCTCGGAAGGAGGAGCGTCCTCCAACCGCCTCTTTGCCCCGGCCACGACCCTGCAGCTGCGGCAGCGGCTCCTGCGCCGCCATCGCCGCCGACGCCGCGCGCGTCACCAGGAACGTCCCCTTGACGTTGACCTCGAGGAAGCGGGCGAACTCGCCGACGTCGGCCTCGGCAACAGCAGCGGCCTTCTCAACCCCGATGCCCGCGCAGTTCACGCAGTAGTCCACTCGCCCGAAGAGGCCGACCACGTCCCGAATGACCTGCTCGACGGATGCTTCGCTTCTCACGTCGATCGGCCGCGAGTGAACCTGGAAGCGCGGGTCCTTGGCTACGGCCATGGCCTCGTCGGCGACGGCTCTGGCCGCGGCGTGGTCCAGATCGGCCACCACGATGCCCGAGGCCCCCTCGCTCGCAAACGCCGCCACACAGGCTCGGCCTATCCCGCTCCCTACAGCCGTCGTCAGCTCGCGCACTCCTTCTGCGACCGATCGGCAACAGATGGCCGAGCTCGCAAAGCTCGAGTAAGCTGAACGGGCATGCTTACCTCCACCGACGATAAGAGCGTAACCGGTGATTTCCATGATGGATCCGGCCGAGTGTCCGAAACAGGGCGTCCAAGTGTGTAAGTGTCGTGAGGCTGCCGGGTTCTTGTTTGGTCATCTGACAAGCATGGGATAGAGGCAAGTATTTATGCACGTAGTAGATGAAGATACCTACCCGAGATGCCGATTTCGCGTCCAAGTGCCGCAATTGAGACGATTTAGTACTTCTGGAATCTCCGAGGGACGTCGTGTCGGCCGTTATTGACGTGCAGATTGCAGAGAAGTAGCAGCAGCCCGATCGCGGCTCGGGAATAGACATGCATCTGTGTCATGGACCTGCTGGTATGCATCAACGCCGAGATCAGGCCACGGGGAGGTCGCTTTCTCCGCGCCCACCGGACGGAAAGGGCTGTCAAGAGCAGGAAGGAATAAAGTATTTCTTGTCACAGTCATGAAGGAATAGAAGCTCGGCCCCTCCGCACGAGTGCCCCAGACGTCGACCAAACAGAACACCACCCAAGCCATCGGCAACAGACGCATCACAACCCATACCCAAGCTTTTCCAGCAGAAGGCACAATGACCATCCGACAAGCCCAGCCCGACGTGGCGGGGTTCAAGGAGCAGCATCACTCGCAACAGACGCCGGTCCGCATCATCCATGTCGGCGCGGGAGCGGCCGGGCTTCTTGCCGCCTTCAAGGCGCAGAAGACGCTGCGGAACTTCTCGCTCGTGTGCTACGAGAAGAACGCCGGCGTGGGCGGGACCTGGTACGAGAACCGCTATCCGGGCTGCGGCTGCGACGTGCCGGCGCACTCCTACACCTTCTCCTTCGAGCCCAACCCCGACTGGTCGGGCTTCTACGTGCCCAGCTCGGAGATTCTCGCCTACATGGAAGCCTTCGCGGACAAGTACGGCCTGCGACGATTCATCCAGCTGGGGACCACCGTGCTGGGCGCCGAATGGGACGACGCGGCCGGGGAATGTGAGAGAGCGCCTTGAACTGGCTCCGTCATGTCATTAACCCCCCTCCATCGATACACTGCTGACACTCGCGCGTGACTCTGCAGGGGTGGTCGAGCTGAAGCGCGCGGACGGCACTCTTTTCACCGATCGCTGCAACGTGCTCATCAACGGTTCCGGCCCCCTGAACAAGTGGAAAAGTGAGTATGGTCCAGTCCGCCCTTGCCTTGCGTCCTCGCCGCCGATGCCGAGCGTCGACGGCGTGCCGATGGCGTGGAAAGCCCTGGCCGCAAGACTGACGCGATTGAACCACAGTGCCGGATATCCCTGGACTCGAGACCTACAAAGGACAAATCTGCCACTCGTCCAACTGGGATGCGGAATTCGACTGGAAGGACAAGCGCGTAGCCGTCATCGGCTCCGGGGCCAGCGGCGTACAAGTCACGCCGCAACTCGCCAACGGTAAGCGCATGGCGTCGTACACGCCCACGAGAACGTGGCGAGAGCTCCTCGGCGCGAGCGAAGCACGCTAACGGGAGCACCTCTCAGGGTCCAAGTCGCTGACTTTGTTTGCCCGCTCGATCCAGTGGCTCACGCCGTCCCTGGGTCTGCAAGACATAGCCGTGCCGGGCGTGGCGGCCGAGGACGCCCAGGCCCCCGGGCCGCTGGGCAAGCATCTGTATACCGATGCAGAAAGAAGGGCGCTGCGGGAGGATTCCGCCGGACTGCTCGAGTACAGAAAGAAGGTGGACCAGGAACTGCAGCGCTGGTTCGGCGTCTTCCTGCGGGACAGCGTCGCGTCCAAGGCGGCCATGGAAGCCATGGCGGAAGGCATCCGGGCGCGCTTCGGCCCCGAGCACCGGGAGCTGGCGGACGCCTTTGTTCCCGAGTTCGGGCCCGGCTGTCGCCGCAACACGGCAAGTAGCCCGAATCACCGGCTTTCGTTACCAACGAGGATGTACGGACTGCTGACAGGTTCTGCCTTGCATCACTACAGCCAGCCGAAGGCTTCATTGAAGCGCTCGTCCGGGACAGTAAGTCCGCCTCCGCTCGCTTGCACCGGGGCAATCCAGGCCACCAAGGCCCTCCGCAGAGGGGCAGTTTCCTAGCTAACGCCGCCGGCAACAGACGTCACGACAGTCCGTGATCATATCGCACGCTTCACCGAATCCGGCCTGACCACGGCCGACGGACGCGACTTCGAGTTTGACATGATCGTATGCTGTACCGGCTTCGACGTCGCCTACACGCCCCATTTGTGCGTTGCCGCCCTCGTTTTGTTTATTTCTTTGGCCTACTCCCCCCTTCGCCGGAAAGAAAGGAGAATCAGCTAACTGGGCCCTCCAATGAGGCAGCCCGGTCAAGGGTCGAGGGGACGTCAAGATGCGGGAAGCATGGGCCGAGAAACCGCGCGTTTATCTGACCATGGCCACGCCGGGTTTCCCCAACTTCTTCCACATCGGCGGGCCCACGGGGAACTGGGGCTCCGGCTGCGTGCTGGCGTCTGTAAGTCTCCCCCAGCGCACATGACGGTGCGCGTGTCGTCAATGAGAAAACCAACGCGGGGGCTGATGCGATTTTATTTTTTTTCCCCTTTTCAGCACGAAGTACAAGTCGATTACGCGATGCAGGCCTGCCTCAAGATCTCGGCGGAGCGCCTCCACTCGGTCGCCCCCAAGCCCGGGCCGACGGACGAGTACATGGCCCACAGCGCGGCGTGGCACCGGGCGTTCAGCCACTGGGCGGACGACTGCCGGTCGTGGTACAAGAACGGCGGGCGGCCGGACGGCGAGGTGATGCTGTGGTGCGGCAGCATGCTGCACATGATGAAGACGATGCGGGCGCCGCGCTGGGAGGACTACGAGATCCGGTACCGCGAGGCCGACATGTGGGCCTTCCTCGGGGGCTGGGGCCGGACCGAGCTCGAGATGAAGGCGGAAGCAGGAGAGGCGGTCGACCTCAGCCCGTTTGTGAGGCCGGGGGACGAGCCCTACCTGATTGAGTGAGACGCCGGCATCGGCGATGGCTCCGTATACACATAGCTGTCCGTTTCCAGCGAGAGCGCGTAACACGTACTGCTTTATCCTCTAAAGGCTCCCGGCGGTGATATGGATGCATGCTCCAATACAGGCAAACTCGGTGCCGTGTATACTTGACACACGGAACCGATGTCCGTACGTCCTTGTAGATGGAGACATGCTGAAAGGCCCTCTTGTTGAGCATTTGCTACTATATTCTAGTAAGAAGCGTGTTGGTATAGTTTTATAGAAACATACTGTGCTAACGTACTTGATAAGCGAGCTGCCCAGACAAGCGAGCTGCCCACCTAACCATAATCACATTATAAATCTAACTAAGGAGCAACACTAAAAACATAAAATCAATTGAAACTACTCTGAATCCTATTCCTCAGATATTTCTTTATTAAACTGACATGTTCGCGCATTGTGGCCAGTGTTTCCGCAGACGCCACATCGCCGTTAACCTATTTCTGTCCTCGGCCGACGACTACTACTCTGGCGCGTTTCCTCCTCAATCTGGGCCGTAGCCTCTCTCTGCGACTGAATGTCCTCTGCCTCAGCTACAGTAAGACTTCCTCCTTGTCTGAGACGTGTTTTCTTAGCCCTCCTGCGTCGGCTAAGTAGGTTATTTTCCTCCCGGAGGATCTGGACCTCCGACCTTAATAAGGCAATCTGGTATATAAATCCCCGCGCTCCCTTTGATAAATGCTCTATAGCATTAATAATTGAAGTTGGGGAACTATTTTGATAGCGGGAGATCCTCCTTTTGATGAGTTCGGACTAAGAAGAGGCCTCTGTTGGGTTATTTAGCGTTTAAGAAGTCCATGCGGGGGGTGTTATTAGTAGGGACCCTGGGGGTATTGGAGTATGTAACTTGATATCAAGCTTCGAAAGCACACTTTCGGCACTTAAAGAAACAAGCCCGGCCCCTCTGAAGCCTCCCTGGATGTTTTTTACCGTTAGGGTTTGCGTGAAAGCGTTGTGAAATGCAGGGAAGAAGTCCTCCTTCGTAATATAGGTATTACCCCGGCGCATCTTATCCTCAATTTATCGACCATAAGCCGTCTTTAGTGGCCCAAAACACCCAACGTCTAAGGGCTGAAGTAGATGAGACGAATGGGCCGGCATATAGAGTGTGACGATATTGTTTTCCTTGTAATATATCTTAAAGTGCGCAGAGTGGTGACTTTCGTGCCCATCGACGACGAGGAGGCGATAATTGCTAGTTATACGCGGTTTTGTGTGCCGATTAAAGTCCTGGAGCCAGTCTAGGCCTCTTTTATTTGTTGTCCATCCGTTTTCAGACGTTACGATGACCCAGTCGCATAGGAGATCTATTTCTATATACCAGGTAGAGAGGTGATATTGGCCTGTAACGATGATGTACGGCGGAACGCTGTAGCCTGACGAACTGATGGCCTGAATGACTATAACCTATTTACGATTGCCAGGCTGTATCATTTTTATATTTGAACGCCTTTCGGCACTCGTGACGACCATCCCGGACGCAATCTGGCCCATCATAAACCTAGTCTCGTCGAAGTTGTAGATATCGGAGTCTATAATACCGTATTTCGCAATTGTGTTCGCTATAAGCCGAACCTACGCATTTATCGCATCTAGATCTTCGTATTAGGCCCTCTTATAGTCGTACTTATAAAAAAAGCGCGTCCGGAGCTATGGTTGTCGTTTAACGAAGTTTGAAGCCCAGCGCTTCCCAACTAGGGGCGCATCGCGGTCGGCGAGCAATCGATTAGCCATTTCTTCCACACCATTAATCCGGGGAGGAAACGATCGGGAATCCAGGTCGAGGATATACTCAACTAGCTTCTCCTCTTCAAGCTCCGTCAATTTGCGTGAGTTAGGTATAGTATCTTATCATATAGGTGTGCCTTTTAATCGGGTACCTAGGGTCCTAAGGGGGACTAAATAGATTCTTACTGCGGCTCGAATGCTGAGTTTAGGGTTTTTTTGGATAGCCTTGACTGCTAAGTTCAATTGGGCCTCTTTGCTTTGTGACGACATGATTATTTGTGGCGTGATACGCATTAGAAGTGAGGAGGAAGGATGAACGCGGTTGGGTGGGCAGCTCGCTTGTCTGGGCAGCTCGCTTATCAAGTACGTTATACAGAATGATATATAGAGTTTATATTTGCTCCCAGAGTCTCAGAGAGTCCCATCATCCAGTAGCGTAAGGGGCCGGCCCGGTGCTTGTTCAACAATATGGGCGCCATCGATTGCCTATTCCAAGCTGGAGGAGGGAAGAGGATATTCTACAGGGGCGGTCGCGCAGCTAGTGACATGCGTCGCCGGTGCAAAAACAGCGCTGACAGGGGTTTCGGGCAGAGCCAACGCAAACGACGGCAACGGAATTGTGAGCTCTAGAAAAGCCCAAACGCCGGCGGCGCTGGACTAAAGCCGACGTGCTAATTCCGTCCACGACTCCAACCGCCTGTCCCCGTACGACCCCGGCCAAGGGTGCATCTCATGCCGCCCGATAACAGGCTGGCCCTCGCTTCATCCCTGGCAAAGAATGTTTGCGACCCCAAGCTACCCTTGTCTTGGTTGCGTTCCCTTGCAGCCAGGCGTTGGGGGAAGTCGCCGTCGTTGCCAGCCCTGTCTGATCTAATGCCACACGCCACACACAGCAGTTCAATGGCACGTTTGTGGAACAACACACAAGTAGTAGTAGGCTCCTTTATTAAGGAGGCAAAGCCCAGGGAGAGACTGTCTTCCTCTGCCCCTTCCCTCGTCCAGCAAACCCGTATCTCATCGTCCGGCCTGCCTACGCTGCTTCTGCTTCATCCAAAATGGCCTACAAGAACTCCGTCATCGTCACCGGCGGGACCAGCGGCATGGGCTACCACGCATCCCTAAAGATTGCCAAAGAACACCCCGAGTACCTGGTCGTGATCGCCTCGCGGTCCGACAAGGACAACGCCGCTAACGCTATCAACAAGGCCCTCGGCCAGTCCAACACTGTCTTTATGCCCCTGGACCTCGGCAGCCCGGCCAGCGTGCGGCGCTTCGCCAAGGACTGGATTGCTGATACGACAAAGCCCCAGATCCAGGCGCTGGTGATGAACGCAGCGCTGCAGTTCCCCACGACCCTCCACCTGACGGACGAGGGCATGGAGAAGACGTTCGCCATCTCGCACGCCGGCCACGCCCTCCTGTTTCACCTCCTCTGCCCCTACCTTGCTACGGGTGCGCGCGTCGTCCTCACGTCCAGCGGCACGCACGACCCCGCGCAGAAGTCCGGCCTGCCCGACGCCGAGTACAACTCGGCCGAGGAGCTGGCCCACCCGCCCGCGTCCAAGCTGGAGATACCCGGCCGCAAGCGCTACTCGACGACGAAGCTCTGTAACGTACTGTGGACGTACGCGCTGGCCCGGCACCTGGCCGAGCGGGCGCCGGAGCGCCGCATCACGGTCAACGCCATGGACCCGGGCCTCATGCCCGGCACCGGCCTGGCCCGCGAGAGCAACGGCGTCGAGCGTTGGCTCTGGAACTCGGTCCTGCCCCACCTCCTGGGCCTGCTGCGCATCATCTTCAACCCTAACGTGCACACCCCGGCCGAGTCGGCCGCGGCGCTGGCCCGCCTGGCCGTGTCGCCCGATGTCGAGGGTGTTACGGGGAAGTACTTTGAGGGGCTGAAAGAGATCGAGTCGAGCGCCGACAGCTACGTCAAGAGTAAGCAGGAGGACCTGTGGGAGTGGTCCATCAACTACGCAGCCGGGGGCGACGCGCGCGAGGCGGAGCGGTTCCAGTCATTGAAGTGAAGCGGGTGCTGATTCGGGTCTTGGTCTTTCGTTCTCTCCCTCTCTCTCTCTCTCTATCTCTCTCTCTCTCTCTCTCTCTCTCTTGCATGGGTTTAGCAGCGGTTGGGGCCGGGTACCTGGTACGTCGACCTGCTGTTCACTGGTATAGCTACAGATTTCCTTTTCCGTCTATCGTTTAACAGGAAGATATTTCGTAATCGCACCATCTTCCAGGGTTCATCATAACACGGCGTCAAACTAGTGATCCAGGATGGAATGGCCGCATATTGTCCCAAACTGTCTCCTGCTGCCTGATGATGCTCATCACGGGCGTTGTTGCCTTGCTAAATCTGGCCAAGGAAGCATTCCCGGCATCCGCCAGCAGTTCCGTTTTGCGCGCGTGAGTGGAGCTGCGGTCGACTTCCATGTTTCCAGCGAGCACCAGAGCTTAGCGTTGCCTGGTCCTTCGTATGCCGATCAATCACACCGGTGATCCTAGGCAGACTGATCGTACCTTGGGGCGGGGTGGGGGGCCAGCACCGCCGCCTCGTTTCTGAGTTTACGCGGTATTTCGAGAATACAGGCAGGCCCGAGGCGTAGTAAGCCGAACGATTCATCATTGGCCGCGCGTGCCACGGGCTGCCAGATCCGTCACCCGTGGTGGTCATAAGAGTCGGGAATGCGCCGTGATCCTTCCCGACGCTAGGCCAAGGCTACCTCACTCCTCATTCGGCATACAGGCCCCTCTCACACACGCGGGACTGAACGCCCGCAATCCGACCTGGCATAGCATGGTCTCTATATCCGTGAGATGGCTAAGACACATCCTCCTCGTGGAGTCACTGATACCAACACCACGGGGTGGCGCCCCACAAACGGCAGCCTTAATGGTTGGGGCGCCGCTGCCCGGCCCGTCGCCGAGGGACCCCCCTAACCCCCCACGGAATTACCTAATGCGGATGACTAAGTGCCCGAGAGTGGAGCCACTCCACGCGGTCCGCCAGGTAACCCCACCTCCACAACTCCACATTTTTATGACAGTTCGGCCAACCGGCCGGGAGCCTTGCCGCATCGATTACCCCTACAGAACTTGTGTGTGAAGCTAATATGAGCCTAAAGCCTAATGCCTAAAGCGGGCGCTAGTCCAGGCCAACGACGGGACCGCTGAAACCTAGATACGACGTCCGTCTTACATGTACAACCGACTTGTTTTCTCGGGGGGACTTGTGTCCATTCTGCATGCACGACGAAACAATCCGCCGCTGAGAAAAAAGGACTACGAGGCACGCGAGGCACAGACAGGCTGCAGACCGACCGTCCCATGCAGGACCAAAGTCCCAGGAGGCGCATACCGGGGGTGGGGCGGGGCACGGCAACTCGGCGGTCTTGCGATACGCTTCTGGATTCTCAGATTGACGCCTCTCTATCCGTATTGTTGAAGAGCTTCTTCACTGCCTCCACCTTCTGCTCCAGCCACATGCGCACGTAATCGCAAGCCATGATGAAGGTCGCCGTACAGGACCCGGCCGCGACCTGCGCTTCCCGAAACTGGCGGACGGCCTGGTCGAAGTGCTTGAGCAGGCCGCGAACCCGGCGGAAGTACAGCAGACACAGGCGGCTCCGCAGCTCCGCCTCGTCGTCGTCCTCGAGCTGGAGCACGCCCCAGCTGAGCCGCGGCTCGCCCGCCATGCTGGATTCGCGACGGACCCCTGTCCCTGGGCTGACCATCGTGACCCCTTCGCTCAGCGTGGCCCCCCACGTCGACGACGTCGGTGAGCCCGCGTTATTGTTTTTGCTGTTGTTGCCGCTGCTGCTGCTGCTGCTTTTGTTGTTGTTGTTGTTGTTGTTGTTCTTGTTATTGTTATTGTTATTGTAGTTGTTGTTGCTGGTGGTCGGCCGCCCTGGATTGCTTCCGCTGTCGGTCGTGGTGGCCGAGTACGACGAGGAAGACGACGGCGACGATCCGCTGAGCAGCGTCTTGAAGCTGTCCACAATGTCCCCGATGAGGAACCCGATGATCATGGTGACGGTGTGGCTGGAGGAATGTAACTGGCAGGCCATGGACGCCTCGCACGCCAGGATGGCCTGCTTAAGCTGCGAGAGCTCCACGTCGAACGACAAAGGCCTGCCTGCGCCTTGACTACGTGCCGCCTGCGGCTTACGGGCGAGGTCTGGGATGACGCGCGAGCTGCAGGTGCATGCGCCACCCTCCGGACTCGAGCCAGAGTCTTGTGCGTGGTTGCGGCCATGTTGGTCGTGAGGCTGCGGTTGTGTCTGTTCGTACTGCTGCTGCTGTTGCGGTTGCTGGTTCGGGCGTGACTGCGACGGCAAATGTAGTCGGGGCACCAGCGGCTGCGGCGACAGAGGATGGGGGCTGACTGCATCATGCGCACCGCCCCAGGTCCCGGCGTCGAGAGAGGCCGGGTTGAGCGGGGGCTCAAGGCCGCCGCCGTCGCTTGTCGAGAGAAAGTCCATGGGGTCTAACTGATTAAACGGCCACAGCGCGGCCTCGTCCGAGTCGCCGTGACAGTCTCGGAAACCCGCCAACAGATCGGCCGACCGAGGGATTCGGCCGCTGTTTGGCGCCGCGGCGGTGGCGGTGGCGGGGTTCTGCGAGAACACGTTGAAGTCATGGAACGCGCACAAGGCGGCCACGGTGGAGTAGACGCTGTCATCCACATGCGCGGCTGCTTCAATTCTCGGGCGTTTCGCTGCCATCGCGCCGGTGCCGGACGGGGACGGGGGCGCGAAGCGGGAGGAGGACACGATCCGCGGCGCGTCCTTGTGGCTCCGGCGCGACAGGCCAAAGACGCACGGCATGCCCTTCCTCTTGCACTGGTCGCAGGTCGGCTTCGTCTGGCTGCAGCGCACCTTGGACTCGTTGCAGGCGTTGCACGAAGCCCGCAACTTGACAGGGGCCTGGTTCCCGGAGCCATCCGCGTTTGTCATCCTGCCGCGAGCTCGTGGGTTGTTGTTGGTTGGTTCGATCGGGTCACGGAATCGTCAATTGCCGTCCCTCCACCATCTGGCTTCCCCGACTGGACGGGCTTCTTATATAGGTCTGGGTCAAGAGCACCGAGGCCGAACGGTCGTGCCGTGCCGTACCACCGTGGCGAGAGATGGATGCATCATTGGCTTATCCGCATGCACCGGCGAGCTTGTCGCGAGACTTGAGCCGCCCGTTGTCGCGGGTAAGCCGCAGCCTCATGAATCCTCCGCTGGCTGGCTACCGGTTCTGATAAAGGCCGGACCAGATTGCAGGACAGATGGCAATCGGTTCATATCTTGCATCACTCCATTTGCCTCTTCATGAAATCTGCCGTAATATGCTGCGGGGTAAGGTTGGACTCGATGAACGTGAACTGCCCGATGTGTCTGTCTCAACCATAACATAGGTACGACCGTCAGCAATCAGGATACATGTACATGGTCGGGATAACAGGGGTGCTAGAATGCATCATCCAACCAAACGGCCGTCCAAGTCCCCGAATGAATGAGAAAACATCCCCCTGGCGTTGCCGTGCATCGCTCGAATCCCACCCTAGCCCAAGGTAGCCCCCTCCAACTTGCGTGGCAGAGCGGTCCTGTCTGCTATTGAATTCTTAGCCATCCATGTGTGTGGACTGGTGCTGTTACTCTAAAGGAGTCGGAGTCGTGCCGTTTTACCCGGTTCGGTAATCACGATGCTCAGGACGATGAAGGTACAAATTCCGCGCCAGGCTCTCGTGAAACCAAAGTAGTACTCATAACAGCAGTCTCAGCCATCTATATAGATGGCGCAGCCTTGTCGATTATTTCGTCCTGCCTGGCTGGCCCCTCATCTCACCGAGACGCATGATCCCGAGAGCTTCGTGCTAAGGTCCGCAGTCCGACTCCTCCACATCCGACCGCTCAGCCCATCCCCTGCCCGACCTGCCGTTCCATCCATCGCCTGCCAGCGTCGGGAAGCAGCCGTTCCCGGTTGTCGTATTTGTGTTTGTGTTGGCAGCGATGGCAAAAGTACCGTCCGCGATTGGCAAAAAGGAGTCGGTGGCCTCTCTGGCCTTCGGCACCCTTGCCATCTCGGTCGGCCTTCTTTTGTGCTACGCCCTCTACAGAGGCATCTACAACCTCTTCTTCCATCCCCTGCGTCACTGGCCCGGCCCCTTTTGGGCCGCCGCCTCCGACTTCTTCAAGCTCTGGATCCTGCACACCAAGCAGGCGCACACGCTCGGCCTGGCGTACCACGCCGAGTACGGTCCGGTGGTGCGGGCCGCGCCGAACCTCCTGGCCGTCAACGACCCGCGTCTGCTGCCCGCCATCTACCACCGACGTGCCAATAAGACGGACGTGTACACCCCTGGGGTGCTGGGCGACCTCGCCCCGCCCTTCCAGGAGCTGGACTGGCGAGAGCATGCGCGCAAACGCAAGCGTGTGGCGTCTTCGTTCCTCCTCAGCAACCTGGTCAAGCTCGAGGGCCAGGTCGACGCCCGCGTCCAGGAGTGGACGGCGGCTTTGGCCACGCGCTTCGCCCATTCCGGCGCCAGCATGGACTTTGCCTCCTGGTCCCAGTGGTTCGCCTACGACACCATATGTCAACTGTCATTCGGTGAGCCGCTGGGCTTCGTTCGCGAGGCCCGCGACGTGTCCAATCTCATCAAGAACTTCCACGACATGGCCCCCTTCGCCGCCGTCGTAGGCGCCCTGCCCTGGCTCTGTGCCCCCTTCTTGCACAGCCCCATCACGAAATGGCTATTCATGCCGCGCCCCGGAGACAGCTCGGGGACTGGAAAGATCATGGCCGTTCGTCCGACCCAGCCGCCTCACCCTCTCCTCTTACCCCCATTTCCTTCGTCTCTTCGCTTTGCAAGTCCAGGACGTGTTGATCTAACCGTTGCGACCTGCAGTTTCGCGATGCTCTACTGAACGAAAGACTCCGGGACCCCAAAGCCCACCACAAAGGCGACTTCCTGGACAACATTCTGGCCGCCAAGAACGAAGACGGGACGCCAATCTCCGTCGAAGAGGTCAAGACGGAATGCTTCGTCTTGATGGTGGCCGCCTCGGACACGACGGCAGCCTTCTTCTGCGGCTTCGTGCGCTACGTCCTGCAGACGCCCGGGGTCTACGACAAGCTCATGGCTGAGATCGGCGACTTCGAGAGGCGCGGCAAGCTCGCGTCCCCGGTCCCCACCTTTGAAGAGATCAAGGCCATGCCGTACCTCGAGGCGTGCCACCGCGAGACGCAACGCTACCAGCCCTCGACCCCTATGATCATCCCGCGCTACGTCGGCGAGGAGGGGCTGCAGCTGTACGGCCGCCGCGTCCCTCCTGGCACGGAAATCGGGGCGAACCCGTACGTCGTCCACCGGGACAAGACCGTCTTTGGCGAAGACGCAGACGTCTTCCGCCCCGAGCGCTGGCTCGAGAGTCCCGAGAGGGCCCAGGAGATGGACAAGTACCTCCTCACCTGGGGCTACGGGCCACGGATCTGCCTGGGGAAGAACATTGCCCTGATGGAGACGCACAAACTGCTGATCCAGGTACCAACCCCGGAGCCGGTTCTCCATCTGAACGTTGAACGTGTGGGACGTGAGAGCTGATTCGAGTGCATGACTAGTTCTTCCGTCTTTTCCGCCCCAGCATCGTCAATAAAGACGAGAAAAGCATTTGGCGACAGGAGAATCTGGCACTCCTCGTCCATTGGGACTTTTGGCTCAACATCAAGCATCGGACGCCCGGAGGAAGCGGCGCGTAGGTAGGGCCGAGGGCGTGGGGACTTGGACAACACGAGACGGAATGGCCCTTGTCACTTACGAAAGTACCAGATAACGTTTTTACGGCTCAGATACCAGCCCAGAGTGCTGGTTCTGAGGCCGCCAATGAGCATGCAGAACTATTCCCTTTGAATTCTTCCCTTTTTGCAGCCTTGGCAGCTCCGATATGAATGGAATGAGGCCGTTTGTTCGCCCGTGTTAGCCGACATGTGCTTACTTCGCCGAATGGGACCTTCCAGATTTGGAACCCAGCTATCCGAATTTGCAAACGCCTCCAGGCAATATTGAGGCTCGATTCAGCCACTTTCTCTTGGTTCCAGATCCTATGGAGGGGGGAGGGGGAGGGGGTGGGGGTTGCGGGAACACCACCCGATTACCGCTACGTGTGGTTCAAATCCATGTCTGCCATGATAAGGTCTAGAATCGCTATCCAACGACCCTTTTCGAGTATCATTTCACGTCAACCTCCACCGTAAGGCCCTTGCAGGATTCTATGCAGGGACCAGGGTCATGGTATTCTTAGGTCGGGCGAGACTTGCTTCGACCTGTCATACGACAGCCGGCACGAGACCTGATTGGGTCCTGTCGAAAGCTGACCATGGCCACTTTCTGATCAGCTTATTCCAACTCAGGCTCGGCGAGATTAGTATTGAATAATATGTCTTTGGCCTGACCAGCCGAGTCAGCGGAAATAACGGTTGAACGCCCCCTTCCCACACCGGAGCCGACGTTCTCGTTTTCGCCTGATTGACGTTGGCGAGCAGGTCCTCACCTGAAGATCACGTCTCGGCGAATCCCTCAATGAACAAGCATGTCGAGGGCATCAGCCTCCTCCTCTTGAGCTCTAAGCCGTTTTGCTGCCCTACAAGATCCCAACGCTATCCCGAGAGTAGTGAAATTCGCGTACCCAGAGAGGACTAGAGGTCTTCTCAGGTCTTCGCCCCCGCCCGTCCATTTCGTATGGATCCCGGTGGCTTCTTGGCCCAGTCGAGAATAGAACTCAGAGTGAGAGGCCGCAACGTGGCCTCATCCCAAGTCATACCGGGGTCGTAGAGGCCCGCCAGCCTTGTTGTTGAAGATGACCAAATGTTTTAACCTTCTTACTCATGGGAAGAACACGGCCAAGTGTTGTGATTCGTGGGCCTGGCTCTAGGAGCGTTCCTGACGAGGTTGACTTGTTCGGGCGGCTTCCTTTCAGCTAGCTGATGCCAAAGTTCTCTACCGTGCCTCTTTTCCTCAACCATTGAAAATTCGACTTCCGCCGTCGTAGACAGTCACAGGGCGCAATCCTCCGCCCCCAGACATCGCACCCATCCGGCGGAGGAGGGAATCTGCCTACACCGTAGGCAAGGATGCGGCGGTGATGGGCTGACGGACTGAAAAACACCTGCTCAAACTAGTGAATCAGGATCCGTGGAGCGTTTGGACCCCAAAGAATCCGACGATGCCGTCCAGAAGCGGCCATCGAGAGGGGCAATGTAGAAGATGTAAAAGGACGCAGGCAAGAATAAAACGAGCGTGTTGTCGACGGCTTCTTCGTGTTTGATAGACCACAAGGACATCATAATTCCAGCTTGTTTGAGTATCCAGAGCTTTATAGACGACTTGGAAAGACCCTTTCGACAGTCTTTGAACCTCTACACTTTCAACATGAGACTCTCTGTTCTACTCGGTGTCTTGCTCGGCATCAAGACCGCGGTGGCCACAGTCACCCCCCGCGACCTGTCCCGCAACATCCTCCTCGACCGTAAGAACAAGTGGAACGGGAAGACCGTCATTTCGTTCCCGGACACGCCCGAGTTCACAAACGCAACGGACCGGTGGTCCTCCTATTCGGAGCCGACCTTCATCGCCGGCATCACGCCGGCCACCGAAGAGGACGTCGAGAAAGCTGTACGTTGGAGACCCGGACGCATCGGACGACCTCGTGACGAAGAGACCGCGTGAACGGGCGGACGCTGACACCATGGGACTCCCGACAGGTCAAGCTCGCAACCAAGCACAAGATTGGGTTCTTGGCCCAAGGCGGACGCCACGGGATCGCGTACTCGTTCCAGTCGCTCAAGAACGGCTGGTCCATCGACCTGAGCCTCTTGAGGTCCGTCGCCGTCGATAAGCGGGCTGCGACGGTGACCGTGGGAGCTGGCGTGAGGTTCGGCGAGATTTACGACCCGCTTGACAAGGCCGGCTTCATGATACGTGAGTCTACATCCTCTGTCCCCCGTCCAAGCCGGCTGCATCTCGCCACCACGAGACACATTTACTGACTGCAGCACGCCTAGAAACCGGTTCCGGATCCTGCCCTGGCATGCTGGGTGCCGGGCTAGGCGCCGGTGTAGGACGGTATCAGGGCATGTTTGGTCTCGTCATCGATGCTCTCGTCTCCGCTCGTATCGTCACGGCCAAGGGAAAGGTGGTCGAGATCTCGGCGAAAAAGAACCCCGACCTCTTCTGGGCCATCCGTGGTGCCGGCGCCAACTTCGGCATCGTCACCTCGGCCACGTTCAAGGTCCAGAAAGTGCCCAACAACAACAGGATCCTGAATGTCGATTTTATCCTTCCGGCTTCTGCTAACGGCTCTTACTTTGACATTCTTCACACCCTGGAAAACATGCCGCCGGAGCTCGCTACCATCCAGTTCGTCATGTGGAACGCGACCGTCAAACAGGTGAGTGCATCGGCGCGTGCCTAAGCTTTGTGCCTATTCCTTAACTCGACTTGCCTCAACCATCTCCCGCTTCGGCTAACCACCAATCTTCCCCCCCTCCAGCCCCAAATCCTGGCCAACTGGGTCTACACCGGACCCGAAGAGAAAGGGCTCGAGCTCATGGCCCCGGTCTTCGCGCTGAACCCGGTCCGGTCCGAGAAGAAGGTGGTGCCGTGGAAGTCGCTGGTCGGGACCGCCGGCTTCGGCGCCGACCAGGGGTGGTGCCAGTCGAGCCCGATCCCGTGGACGCAGCTGTCGGCCAACACGAAGCGGCTGGACGCAGGCACGATGCGCACCATGTTCGAGAAGATGGCGGCCTTCTACGAGTCGGCGCGGGACCCCGGCGCGCTCGGGACGACGGTCGAGCTCGAGATCTTCAACAGCGACGCCATGCGCGCCGTGCCCGCCGACGCCACGGCCTACCCGTGGCGCGACTCCATCGCCTACATGATGTTCGAGCTGACCTGGTCCAGCGGCGAGGGCGAGGCCGCCGCCATCGCGCTCGCCCAGGACCTGCGCCGGGACTTCGTGGCCACCTCGGGCTACGACGACCTCGCCGTCTACGTCAATTACGCCAGCGGCAACGAGACCCTCGAGCAGAGGTACGGCGCCACCAAGCTCAAGCGCCTCGCGGAGACCAAGAAGAAATGGGACCCGGAGCAGGTCTTTGGTTACAGCAACCCGCTGCCTACCAAGTACCCTTGATTCACTCCGGCCGGGGGTGAGAACGGGGGGTAGGGGGGGGACGATGGAGCAGTGCTTCATCAGCTGAGATCTTAGCTGCTGAGACATACTTTCTTCTTTGTAATTTCTAGGCGAAGTTCCTGTGGTCTAGAATCTAGTCGAAGATAGCGAATAACACACACCGAATTCGACAAGATCACTCCTGGGTTTTGTTTTGCCGTGAAAACGGATTCACTCGTGCGTGTACTCGCAGGAACCATGCCTTATATCCCTTACGACACGATATTCTACTAACAGGAAGCTTCTCAACGTCGTGGTCCCGCGGGAACTGCCCACAGCCCGTTGCCAAGCCCGCCACATCGGGCATTCGGTCATTTGCTAGCCATCAGCGTTGCATACCGTACCGCGCATATCCGAGGCGCCAACCAAGTGCCCCCGTGCCACGGAACGGTCGCAGATCTCACCTTGCCTGATCGGGCAGAATGCTTCTGGGCAACCCCGGTGCGTGTCGATCCAGAGCAGCAGCGCTTACAGTCCATAGGCGGCAGTCCTCGCGTTAGAGATATGATGCCGCCCCCAGGACATCGTATTGGGCTTTCGCTGGCTTCGTCACGTTCCAAGGACCAACGTCTCCGCACTTCGAAATGGCAGATATCCGTCTTCTGTACGCCGGGTTGGTGCCATGCCTGATCTACTTGTGGCTGTCGCTGCAATCTCAAGTGCCGACGTGGACATGGAAATCTCCCGATCTCCGCGGTATACTGCTCGATGAAGGTAATCAGTGGTGCAGTGGAACCGCCGTCCGTTTCCCGGGCCAGGAAGGGTTTTCAGAGGTGCGCCTGACCGTTCCCGCGTGAGAAATCGAGACTCGAGTTGCTGGCGAGATGCCGGCGAGAGCTTTTGCTAACACATACGGTCCAGATGACCGATCGATGGAACACCTTTGACGCGCCCACACATTCCGCAGCCATCAGCCCGGCCACCGAAGCTGATGTGGTCAAGACGGTCCGTGGCTTCACCGGTAGTCGTGTTACTACAGAATCCGGAATGCCGAGCAGAGTGTTGACAAAGTTACGCTACATAGGTCTTGCTGGCAGCGAAGCACCGAGTGCCTTTCCTTGCAACCGGTGGTCGTCACGGCTACACAACCAGCCTTGGGCGCCTTCGAAACGGCCGCGCAATTGATCTTAGCGCTCTCAATGAAGTTGAGGTGGACGAGTCGGCCGAGACCTTGACGGTCGGAGGGGGTGTGCGTTGGAGCCAGGTGCTCGATCCCGTGTTCGACGCCGGCTTCCAGATGCGTGAGTTTCACCGTCTGTCACAGCTCCCACAAGGCGAATCCACATGCGGACCGTAGATTGTTAGGTGCAAATTTTCATCTCAAACAGAGACTGGTATATGCTCCTGCCCAAGGGTTGTCGGTGTGACGCTCGGAGGGGGCATCGGGCGCTACTCTGGCCGCTTCGGTCTGGTCATCGACGCGTTGCTGTCCGTACGGCTTGTCACGGCGGACGGCCGTTTGTTGACTGTGTCCGAAAGCTCACAACCAGACCTGTTCTGGGGGATCCGCGGCGCGAGCGGAAACTTTGGAGTCATCACATCGGCTACTTACAAGCTGCAACGAATTGCCAGCGGCGCCGACCATGGCCAAGGCCATGTTTTGATGGCCGACATGGTGATTCCGGCCGCACAGACTGCCGAGTACTTCAAGATACTAGAGTTGTTCAACGACTCTATGCCGGCAAACCTTGCAGTATACTCCATGATCATGTACAGCGAGGCCGCTAATGATGTAAGTCCTTCGGCCCTCCCACCGCCGCTGTCGGTACAGCAAGCGGCTTATTCCTATCCTGAACTTCATCTGACCTCCAATCAAGGCCAAGGTCATGACCAACTGGGTCTATATGGGCCCAGAGTCGGCAGGACGCGCAGCGATGCAACAACTCCTCGACCTACAGCCGTCCCTTTCGTTGGTGAGGACGGTGCCCTGGTCCAAAATCACGGCGTCGCAGGGGTTCGGCATGTTGGATGCCGCGTTCTGCCAGAGCGCCGTGGACCGCAGCGTTTACGGTGTGAATGTCCGACAACTCCATGCCGCGACTTACCAGACCGTCTTTGACAAGATGAGGACCTTCTACAGAGAATATCCCGAAGCCTGCGGCAGCGCCAAAGCGTTGGAAACTTGGCCGAACCAGGCGACATTGGCAGTGCCGGCCGAGGCCACCGCGTACCCGTGGAGGGACGCCAAGGAAAACTTGTCAGTTTCTTTCCATACATTCTCCCTTGTTTTCTTCAAACCTTCATCTGAACCCCCCTCCCCGGGAGGACTGCTGATGTTGGTCGGTCTCGCAGCCTCCTCGTGTTCTCCTGGTCGAGCTCGAACCCCGACCACGGCGAGGTCTTGGCGGAGGCCTCGAACAAGCTCGGCCGCGAGCTTCGGAACAATTTCTCCCAAACATCGGGATATCCGGAGCTCTCCGTCTTTGTGAGCTACGCACATAGCGACGAGACGGTCGAGCAGATCTATGGCAGAGACAAGCTGCCGCGCCTGGTGGCACTGAAGAAGAAGTGGGATCCCCTGAACGCATTCGCATACAACAACCCGCTACCCACGGATTACCCCGCAAAGAACGGCGAGTAAAGGATTCACAGCGGAAGCATTGAGAATGTCACTTAATGTGGGGTGCGCCTTTCCGCGAGAACGTCTATTCACTTGCGGAACGAATGTGGACGCCGTGCTGCTGATTCGCGTCCGAGCAAAACACCCTCAACACGGAACTGGTTTCTCCAATAGTCACACCAAAAGCAGTAAATATTGCCATCATAATAATGTTAGCCTGCGGTTATAATCTGGTCCGAGATGCATGTTCGTGCACAACAGAACTGCGTCAAGGTAAATGGCGGCAAATCGCGGTAGTCGTTAGGAACCCGATGTCTGGCCGATATGCTACTAGAGCTCCTTAACTACAAACGATCTGAAATTCCCTGCAATTGCCACCATGCAGCCCGCAAAGACGGGCGTTGATGCTTTCAATGGGGTATCTCGGTAGTATGAGGTGAAGGGGTCCGCATTGATGAACATGAAGCTTTTGCGAACACACCCTTTGTTGGTATACACGTCAGCAGGGCAACCGTACGGTTGGAACGAAGTGTCAATAATGGTCTATTATTGCTGCGTCTTGAGGTGGAAGGAGGAGATTGTGGGCAGAGCCCACGATCTCCCAGAAGTGGTATATAAGTGAAAGGCCGTTTGTAAGTGCCCATACCGCCTTCCGGATCCATCTTTTCTGCCGACTGCTCAGAGATCCAACACCCTTAACATGAGAGCCGGAGCCTGGCCATAGTTTCGAGCATGGGATGTCGCCTTGGAATAAACTTCAGTCTTTATTGATAGAAAGAGAAACCCGGAATTTAGACAGGCAGTGGAAGATGGACCTAGTGACCATTGCTAGCGTCACGACTTGCGAAACGAGCAGAATGGTAGGCTTCCGGCCCAAAATAAGACGTTACATCCAGATCGCCATTCTTCTTGATCATGCAGCCAACGTACGTCTGCAAGCCCTTGCCCTCGTCCAGCTTGCGATGTTCGGCGAAGCTTTCCATCATTCGAAGAAAGTTAGCGGCGTAGGCGCCCCGGCCGCGGGACTTCATCCACGTTGCAACACTGTTCGCGATGCTGCCGTCATCCGGACCGTACTGGCGGACAGGTAAGTAGAATCTGATGTCCGGAGTCTGTGAGCGGCCCGGCGGGATGTCAAAGTAGTAGCAGTAGCCGCCCAGAAGGGCCGGCTGGTCGTTGAAGATCTCCTTGGCCGGCGGCGTCCAGGGCTCGCTGGGGATGGCCTCGTCTTCGGCGTAGTCGTCCGGGAGTGAGAGGACAGCCGTGATCAGCGATCGCAGCTCTTGCAACGACCCCTCGGAGACGTTTATGGAGCCGCCCATGGTGATTATCTCTCTCAAGGAAGTAAAACTCGTGTTCGGTGAGGTGAAGTACAGCTTCAGGCGCGCCTTGTCCGCCGCCGCACCATCCGGAGCGAGTGTGCTGTTTTTGCTCTTCAGCCTTCCATCGTCACGGCAGGGAGATTGAACAGAAACGAGTCGCGGCAGAACCGCCGGGATCCATCATATCTGGTCCCGCACCCCCCGTGCTCGTCCTTTTGTGCTTGAAAGATGTGGGATGGCACTTACAACGGTGTCAGGAGCCTTCCTTGCGGGTTTTCTTTGAGGAACCGCAGTAACGCGTCGCGATTGGCGTTGTCCGGGTCCAAGCGGCGGATTGCTTCGTCCCATCGATCGAGGCTCGCGTGGCCACGAGAGCCCAGCCGGCGAGAGGAGAAGTACGTCTTGATGCTCATGCCCGAAGGGCCGTACTCAATGCCGTGGCCCAGAGTTCCGCGGGGAGGCACCCCTCCCTCTCTGTTCTCTCGGTGGTACTTGGCCGCGTCGTGATCGAAGAGGTGGGTCAAGAAGTGATGAGCCCAGTCGAAGTTCGCGGTCGGCACCACGGTGGCCAGATGCTGCATGAGCTCACGTCCGCGGTGCTGGTTCAACGGGTCGATGGCGGAGCCGGAGAGTTCTCCGATGGCCTCCATCGAGTAGCGGATTTCGGGCTGGCCTTCGGGTTTCGTGCTCCACTTCCAGGAATATTCGATGGGCGAACCGTCTGTGGACATGATTGACTTCCACGCGACGTTTCCGGATCGGTCCGGCGCGGGCCCAAAGTACGGCACCTGTCGTCATGGTCGGATGGTTGGCTGGATGGTTTGCAGACAGGAATGCAGTGCAGGTACATGTACTCACGATATTGTGGTAATGGAACAGGAGAGCTTGGTACTGCCTCTCGGTCGAATAGCCGGCCCCGTCGATGAGGTTTGCCAGATGGAACCCGGTAATGTTCCACCAGTGATCCAGATCGCGACCGCGGCTGGGCAGGCATTCGTGCGCGAGGGCCTTCCAGGCCGCCGTGGCATGCTTTCGGTCCTTGGCAATGACAACTTCAGCCATCTTGCACCGAAGAATCAAAGTTGCCGAGAGAATACAAGGGCTGAGCAGGACTGAGGATGGACAGATTGTTCGAGGATAACCTTGGACAACATGTCGTCGGGACATTTCCTCCGCAGGTCCCTATAGGTCTTATATCTACTTCTGGTGATGGTATTCGTACTGCAGAGACAAGATCACGGCCATTTCGTCAGCCACTATTACCCTGTAACAACGTTCTACGAGCGCAAGCCGCGAACAGCCATACAAAGTAATACGTATTCAGGTCAGCCCGATGCAGTCCGGCAAGCCACCCGACGGAGCTAGCCTATGAGATCCCCGAAGGAATCCCGCCTGCGGGTATCGGGGAAGCTAGCTCAGTACCTGATTAGGTACACAGGAAGATCGGGGACGCTAAGCGCTCGCTCTTTCTCAGCCAGCAGCACGGCGAGAGTGCAGTTTCCCGCTACTTATAACTAAGGGAATTGATTATAAACTATTCTGTACATATGTACCTAAGAGAGTACCCCTGTACTTGCGTGAACCCGCTGAACCTTAATACGAGGGGCAGCCCTAAACCAAATCATTCTATGTGAATTCATTCATAGCTAAAAAGATTGGTACCTATTTCATACGCAAAATATATTGACAGCAGAGGTACCGTACGTAAATCCGGGCTAGTAATTAGGTGGAAAAATCGACGCTGCACTCCCTTATTGGCTGTACCCCGCACGAAGGGTTTCTGGCGTATTGTGGCACTCGATCGAATTGCATCGGGGACTTTTCTCTCCAACCGGACGACATCCGCTCCATCTTTGGATGAGCAGCCTAGCCAGTCCATCCTGACTCTCACTCCGACCCCGCGGAGAGCGATATCACGGAGGCAGCATCGTCCGCCCTCGGCACCAACCCCACAATCCCATAATCCACATGATCTAGGGAATCAATCAGGCGGCCATGTCATGCCTCATCGAGCCAAGTCGGACAACCTGACATATCCTGCGGAATGGATTGTAACCAAGTCTAGCGACCACGCGGTTCTAGACGGCAAATTAAGTTCGCCGCGGTGAGGTAAAACGATAAGCATAATAACACAACGGCGTAACTTGTACTCAGCGCCGTTTGAATATCGGAATACCGACGTCAAAGCAGCAATGCTACTCGGATTTATGGTATCAAGAGACCTTGGGCTCAACTCTTTTGCTGGAACAACCTCCTCTCCCCGACAATCGAAAACACGAGCACGCGAGCAACGATGCGAAACCGCCTCCCCGCCCACCCCCCGTGTTGCCTCGGCCCAGGCCCGGAGGAGGCGGAGAGTCCGGCGGCCGAGGCAGCCCGGCGAAGACAGCACTCAGCAGCGCTGGACACTGGAGTAACCCCCCGTCCAATCGTCCCAAAGGGGTCCACCGCCGACCCCACTCACCTTACTCACCCTCCTCAACCCACGCTCACCTCGCACATCATTTTACCAGGTTAAAAGCAGCCATTCTAAGTGAGCAACTGGGTGAGGCAATTGCACTTGAACAGCTAAGTCAGGTGCCACTATCTTTCACGCAAGTAGACTGCTGTTGTTCCCACCGGAGAACAAGGCTTCTCCCAGCAAGTAACGTGACAACCAATCAAAGACGTCACCTTGGCTTTATCCCATCGAGTGCTGAATGGCAACAGTACATCCCCCCCCCAATTATTACCCACTTTTCCCCCTCACAACAGCGATACATGACGGTACGTCATTTACCTCTATGGGTTCCTCCCTATTTTCACCACCAAGACCGACATTTTCCTATGTGATGAAACGTCGCGATGACTTCTAGCGATTCCGAGGGGTCGGTACGGTCGTGTATCAACGTCGCCGTACTTCCCGAAGACCTAGCCGCTGCCTGTACTGCTGACTGTACACCCGAGAGATGCGATAATGCGGTCGTACGCCCATATGAGCCCCCATCCCTCGAAAGGGGCAGCGTATTCAACCCCTTCAACGTACCCGAGCGGAAGCCGACAATACGAGAAATAACTCTGTTCCGTGGCAACAGCATATAAGGGTTTCGCGGAAGAGCGCCTCCGCCTGCGTTGCGTGTAATCGGCCAAAGAAGGCGCTTAGCGAAGTCTCAGGAAACTCACGATCCCATAGGAAGAAGACGAGGTCAGGGTGTGAGCAGTGTGGGGTTGCGATTTGTAACTCAGAAGATTGCTGGTACCTATTTCATAACCAGAATATATGAACGGAAGAGGTACTAGAAAACTAGGCCTTTTGATTGGTTGGAAGAAGGCTTGGCTGGTCTCTGAGTGGCTATTACCCCTCACTGGATGTACTGTTGCCATTCAGCACTCGATGGGATAAAGGAGGGGGAAGACCTGCCGAAAAGTATCACCAGATTGATTGTTTAAACTCGACCACTCATGAATTTTTTCACATTGTGAAAGGCGTCTCATTAGTTTTACGCTCTAATTTACATATATAGTATTCGAACTATTCCACTACGTATACTAGTACCCAACATGCCGCCAAATTTGAAGTTTGGTTTGCGTGATGATCGCCCTGGTATCATAAGCCCTAAGGAGCGCCAACAGTGGAGAGACTGACGCAAGATTTTATCAACGACAACAAGACACCCGGGAAAGGAACAATAACAACCGTCTTCTCAATGCGAGGAGCAAGGAAGTTGACGAAGAGATCCATGACCGTTTGGGGCAACAATGTATCTCCACTTTCTAGTTGAGCGAGTTCACAGAAACGACCCAGTTCTTATTGTCGGATTGGAAGTCCAATTCGACCTCGAGGCTGGGCAGCGCAGGGGTCAACTACAACCCCTGAGTAGATTCCGACTGCCCACCCAACCTACGGTTGGAACCTCCCTTTTACATGTCACGCAGAATCAGTCAATACAGAGAATTGACCCTTCGTCACCCTCCGAATCCATTGGTTCGAACCAATTACCTGTGATAGAGGTGATACCAACAACGATACATGTCTTCTGTCTTGGGTTATAATTCAGTACCAATGACCAGATTTCCGCGTGTACGTTGCCGATGTGTTCCATTGCCATTGCCTTACGTTTTCCCTTGTCCTCCAACCCAGACTGACATACTACAGGGTAAGGTCCCAGACTCCTCACAAGCGGCCTTCCTTGAGATCCAGGAGGTAGCTAGGATACACGATATACAAACCCATTGGTCTCCTGGGCACCAAGGTATTAAAGGAAACGAAGAAGCAGACAGCCTAGCTAAGGAGGGAACAACTCTACCAGTCCTTAGGGGCCAACTAGCTACTCTATCAGGTATCAAGTGGCTTGCTAAAGAGCGGCCAAGACGCCAATATAGACGATGGTGGAAACAAGAGGCAACTCCCCGCTATACCCAACTAGGGCTCAAGGCTACCCTTGCTTGCCCTCCTGAACTTGGCCTCCCTAGGGCTGCCCTTCATCACCTCCTCGCGGCACGGTCAGGCCACGGGGACTTTAAACAATATCACCAACGCTTTAACCACACAGAAGCACTACTCACCTGCTCCTGTGGATGGGTTAAGGAGGCAGACCACCTAGTCTACTGCCGAAAGACCCTACTGAGGAGGCAACAGTGGCCCACCCTCTACCCCTAAAGCCGCCAGGAGCCCGTAGGACCTATAGGGTCCCTCGATCGCTACTTCAAGGGGCTAATCACTGACTCTGAAGGCTTCCAGGCCTTCCTCTGCGTGACAGACTTCTTCCAGAAGATCTGCCCGCGGTACTAGGAGATAGGTCATAACCTATCCTCCAAACGACAAACTACCTCTATTAAGAAACCAGATGGTTATAACGGAACTAGGGCACCAGTGGGAGCTAGGGATGGATAGAACACATAGTAGCTCACGAGCAAGATTTGGAGGACGTCAGGATACGGCGTGTACTATATAGTATGCAGCTAGAGCCTGCGACCCTTCACGCCACATACCCTCCGGGAGGTCTGCCGCAAGGGCGGCTGCGCCCTTGCCGCCATGGCGTTAGATAGAACAACAACAACTACACACCCAAATCAGGCGGCTCAGGAGGCAAACTCAATGGATGTGCGGAGAATTTCTCTGATTTCGGTAAAGGGAACACGAATACAGCTGGCCCTGGAAACCCCCAATCCAGTGAGGGGAACCTGTTAGCCAGACACAGACGAGTGACAGGATGGAATGGGATGGGGAATTGAGTGATTAAACGAATATTTGATGACGTACCTCGCGGCTCTATTGCCTCCCCTTCTACCACGTCTCTTGTCCTGTCGCTTGTTGCTGACGGGATCGGAAACGTGCCACGGGCGCAGGGTGATGTTGGCGTTTGGTCGAGTGACGCTCGCCCAGCTCATCGCGCACTTGACCCTTTCGTTCTTCACGTCCCAGACCCAGACGGCAACAAGACAATCATCGAGTCTGGTGCCGGCGATGTTCCGCGGGTTTTGGCGGTCGTAGGGGATCTTGACTGCAACTACGGCGCGAACTTTGCCATGAGTGTACGAGATGTATCGGGCGCATTTGGCCTCGAGCTCCTCCAACGTCGTTGGGCTCGAGTAGGCGACCTCGGTGACCACACACGGAAGGTAGCTACCGTCTGCTGTGTCTGCGTACTAGGAGACATCAGGGATGTACCTTAGGGGGTCGAGGAGGGTGCCTGGTGACTCTGAGCCACCGTCGAGGGAGTTTGACGAGGAGGTTGGGGGAAAGAAGTCGGATGGCCACTCGAAAAGTTGTTCAATCTGAGGGAAAGTGGTTTTGGCGGCGTCCGAGACGAGCTTGCCAAATTTCTGGGTGACGAGGGCGTGGAGACGGCCCTGGGTCATCTTAAAGCGAGCGAGCGAGACGCGTCTCGGGGTCGTACTCGACATTGAAATGTTCAAGGGATACGCGAGGATCAGTCTCGAGGCGTTGGAGAAGGGAACAGAAGGCAGAGGGCTCGAGTCGAAATTTTTGATTATGGTCATTGTTGTCTTCTGTAGCCACAAACCCATTATTGTGATGCGAAATTGGTTTATTGTTGCGACGGACAAGTTGGACAGCAAATTCCAAACAGGCATGAATAGTCGTCTCCATCTCCGTCTCTGTGTCCATGTCCATATCAGCTTTCGCAGGAGGCTCAGCCGTGACGGCCATCGTCATTGTGGGTACGACGTTGGGTGTGTGAAAGTGTGCAGAACGGCAAGGCCTGTTGTCACGTCACAAAGACTAGGTTAGCGGCACTGAAACACAAATTGAATGAGAATATTGTGCAATGAGTAATGCAGGCGAGAAAAGAAATCCTTGTTCCGCTGTCAAAGAAAAAACAAGAGAATAGCACAACTTACCGTTGTTGAGATAGGTGAGCTCCTGTACACCAGAGCGCTGTGACGCAGCAACAGTTCGGCCCCACGAACCTCCGGCTACCGAGCATGGACCTCCAGGCTCCTTCTAACCTTTTGACGTGCCGGCCCGGGCCCAAGAAATACAGGAGCTGCCGGCAAGCCCGCTTGATCTATTCGTCCAATACGTTCCGAAGGGCCTCGTGAAGCAGTGGGCCCAGTGGACGAATGCGGCGCCGTTGTCTAAGGAGGACCCTAGGGCCAGAACCTCTAGAGCGAACAAGTGGAGGAAGACTTCAGCAGACGAGATCTACTTCTTCTTAGGGATCCTATTATATATAGGGATCCATAGGGAATCTAAATTATCAACCTACTGGTCAACCCAGCAGGAGAGGGAGGATCCCATCCACCTATTTACGCGGTTTATATCCCGGGACCGTTTCCAACTACTACTCCAACGACTACGGATATTTAACACTGCTGAATTCCGGCCCAGCCAGCCAGCCCAGCCCAGCCAGGGCCAGGGCCGGGGGCGGGGCCAAGATCAAATGCCAGATGTATACCGTAAAGTTAACCAGTGGTCAGCCCACATCCAAGAGACTGGGGATTCCCTTTATATACCTGGTTCAGACCTTACAGTCGACGAGGCTATGGTCCGATTTACAGGTCGATCTCTTGAGACGACAACGATTCCAACGAAACCTATCCCAACTGGCTATAAGATCTGGATCCTTGCCCAGTCTGGCTACTGTATACGGTGGCTGTGGCACGTACATGGAAGGGGCCCATACGCATTAGTCCCTCAGGCCCAGCCAGCTGGGATGGCTGCTGGAAAGCTGGCTCTGTTGACACCAACACAGCAGGTAGTAACTACCCTAGTTTCCCTACTTCCAGCTGCAACCTACCACGTCTTTCTTGACAATCTCTTCGCCTCTGTACGTCTCTTTCGTACCCTACGGAATCAAGAGCTTGGAGCTTCTGGTACCTGCCGGAAGGATAGTGGGATAGATAAGATCCTAGTTATTGAGAAAGAGACTGAAGGACGGGGTATCCCCTGGGGGGGAATACACTGTATCCCGACTTTAGATGGGGAGGTAAGCTGCTAGCCCGCCCAGCCCTACCCTACCCAGCTAACTAGGAAATAGGTCAACCAATTCACCTGGAAGGATAATGCCCTCGTACTCTTCCTGTCAACTGTCTTCCAGAATGGCCAGGAAGTTATTCGCAGCCGCCGCCGCCCAGCTGGGGATACCGCTGCTAAGAAGGCTGCCCGGCAAGTCTTTGGCCCAGACGTCCGTAAGGACCTTCCAGTTCCTAGGGCAATCGATGAGTACAATCACAAGATGAATGGGGTTGATGTGAGTGACCAGATGAGGTCCTATTATCAATACAGCCACCCTATTCGCCGAGGGGGCTGGCAGTCAATTGCCTGGAATTTCCTGCTAGAAGTGGTAGTTGTGAATAGCTTCCTACTACAGCTCTGGGGCAGCCCGAGTTGGAAGAAGGTAAAAACTCATCACCAATGGCGGAAGATGCTTGCAGCTCAGCTTATTCAACGGTTTGGACCATTGGCAGGCGGACGACGACTTTCACGACCTAGACGGGCTACAGACAAGAGGAATACCTCTATTCCATGGGAGCAGCATGGTAGGGGGTCAAGGGGGGTATGCTCGCCTTGCTCTTATTGTAGTAATAGGGGGTCATTAAGAGCCCGCCAGGCTCTAGGCGAGATATCTAGGAATAACCTCACGCAGCAAGTAAGAAAAACTCGGCAGGGCTGTTTAGACTGTAATGTACCTTTATGTATGAAGGGAGACTGCTGGTACCTCTGGCATACACAAAATATATAGAGAATAGAAGTACTGGAAATCCTGTTGAATCATTGGATAAGTCTAATAGGCTGGGAAGTTCCTATTGGCTCTACCCCACCTCTTGGCAAAATGAGGTGAGTTAGCACCCGATGGGATACCTCTTTTCTTCACACCTCTGCCTGTCCAAAACAAGCCGCAATTTCACATACGTTCTTAACTACAACATCCGGCTGCTCGTAGTGCTGAAAATGCGAAATTTCATCGTCCCAAATCAGTTTCTTCTTCTTCTTTGTCGGGATCGACTCAAAATGTCTCTTTGCTGCAGCGTCATTGATGCAATTATTGCCATGAATCACCAAAGCCGGTTTAGTGAGCTTGGCCACGCCAGCGACGGTGGAATAGCCGAAGTGATCCAAATCGCTCATGACCGCAACCGGTTTTCGAAGCCCTTCATGGTCCAGGGGCCATACCACGACCATGTGACTGGTCCAGGGAGCCCGGCAAGGGAGCCAATGTTCGGATCCGCAGCTTTGGGGTCGACAAGAGGTTGGTAGATGACTTCCCCCGTCTTTTCATACAGGGCCTTGGCATCTTTGGCTCGTTGGATTCACGCCTAATAGAGGGCTTCTCCTTGCTTGGGCGTAGGCATCTTCAAAGATCCTACATCGACACCTGGCTCGACATTGACGCAGCCGGAGCATATCATCCAGACATCCGTCTCATGGTCGCGGTAGTATCCTGTCACGGAAGCGCCGGCGACAACGCGGTCGTCATAGGACGCCACATCAAGACACTCGGGGCCTCCCTGGCAGACACCCACGAGGAACAATCTCTTCGCATCTACGTCGCCCCTGCTGACGAGATAATCGATACCGGAGACCACGTCTTCGTTCTTCATCACAGGGTTTTCCAGACGACGTGGCTGGCCGGTACTTTCTCCAACAGTGCGTGGGTCGAATATCAAGGCAGCGTAGCCTTCATTAGCAAGTCGCGTGGCATACTGCAACGGAGCTTGCTCTTTGACAAACGAATAGGGACCTAGGATCACGATGCCAGGCGGATTGGCGACGCCGTGGGGCTTGTAAAGGACACCAGTGATGGTCTCCCCATGAGACGGATAGGTCACCTTCTCAGTGGTGTAACGGCCGTGGAAACCCATTGTAAAGATGATGAATCGGTGATATGGAGTAGCGATTTGATGCAGCAGTGCAATGATGTGTAGATGATTGTGAGGTTGAAATGAATTGACTCTCTCTAGAAAGCAGTGATATGGGCGACTTTTATATGCGCTTCTCAGACCTTCAAGGCTTGTATTCGTGTTGCCTCACGCCGTGTATTTCCGTGTTTTCGGCGATGGCTGATGGGATTCACCGACAGCCAAACCTTGTACGATTGCCAAAGTCGCATCCAGTGACCTGATTGACGCTGTGAGAATATGGTGAGTTAATTCCCGAGACGTCGATTTCGAACGAAATGTGTGGGAGCGTTCAGCACATCCTGGCGCAACTGCTCCGAAAGGCTCAGTTTTGGAGGCGATGTGGTAAATGCACGTCAAGGACGAAGTACCCGCCCACGTATTTCTGCCACCTAAAATACGTTACTAAGACGGTTTCCCTTAAACTTCAGATACTTTGTAATTATTTGAACGGTTTGAATTCGATAGCAGCGGCCTCAAGGTGAGTATCTAGGTGAGACGGTTGCACTTGAACAACAGTGTCGGGCATGATTTGTTAGAGCAGAAGCCAATAGTAAGACACTGAGCAGTATGACCCCAACAGCCTTGGGCGTGAAATGGAATGTATTCTGTCTACTGTCCGTTCACGGACAGACTCTAAAAAAAAACTCGCTATCTCTAAAATAAGGTAGTTCGACTCTTACTTAAACTCCGCCTGATCTCAGCGTCCTCATTCTGCTTCTTGACATTGTCCCATCCTGGCAGCTTGACGGCGTGGTCCAGCGCGACCGGGAGGCCTCTGTGTCTGCCACGGATCATCATTATAATCATCACCAGCTTTGAACCCGTGTACCAGCCGCCCACGAAGCTGAAAGAGTGGTTCGGAAGGCCCATGGACAGTCCGATGTTTGTGTAGCCCGACACGATTTCGAACAAGAAGTTGAAGACGCTGTAAGAGCGGGGGTCCGCGATCGAATGGGACGTCTCGATCAGCGTGACCAAGAACAGCGAGAAGGCGATGGCCCAGATATCGTGCGACAGCTGCCCTCGGAGGTGCTGCGACACGAGGCTCACGTGGCCCTCAGGCGTAGAGGTGGAGCCCGGCGCCGCGTTCGGGTTGTCAAAGTTGATGGCAACCGACCGCTTCAGCCGCGGCTTCGTCGTCACACCCACACCCTGGAAGTTGTTCATCCTGTTCTGGATCTGCTTGCCCACGAAGGAGGTACCACGCCGGCCGATGGCGGCTAGCCTCTTGACGGGCTTGGTGGAAATGCCCGACTTTTCTTGTGACACGCCTGATGCGGAAACAGCTGTTCGCTCTAAGCTAAGCGCATGGCCAGACGTCGGTCGTGATAGGAGGGGCCCAAAGGTTGGCATCAGTTCATCTACCGACTCATTGGCAGTCAAGTCTGGGTCCTCGGACTTTTCAGGTTCCGTGGTGTAGATTCCTAGTGACCGTTCTTCGTACACCTGAAACAGAGTTAGTTGGTAGCATATGGATCAGCTAGACTAGGAATATCACTGACATTTGAGTTTCGCATAACGATAATCTCCGGATATGCGGAAATGTACATGAAGATGACCCACAGGACCAGAACATCGAAATATAGGCTTGACACAGGAACAACCGCGAAGCCTCCGGAAGGAATGGCTAAAGGCCGAAAGGTCAGTCAATGTCTGGGCCAAAATAAAACCGCCTTTGGTGACTTACTCAGTGCCTGAAAGATGGCCAGCCCAACTCGCTTTCCAACCGGATATGCCTCGATAGCAGAGTTACCAATGCTGAGAACCAACAATAAGACCCAGTCCATGATCGCGATTGTGGAGAACATGGTGACAAACACAAGATTGGCCTTGGAAGGGAACATCATCATGTACAGACGGCGAGGGTACTTTAGGATGAAATCGAAAGCTTGCTTCCAGACAGTGTACTCGTCGTCGTCGACAGACAACTTCAAAACCCAGCTACAGAAGTAGACGGTTGCTCTGAGGAACGCAGGGAACGCAGCATTTCCAGCCAGGGAAAGGATGGTAACAACGGTCAAGACGAAGGCATCATTGTCAAAGGCTGCCACGCCTGCGTCCAGGAGTGTCATTCCAGCGTTGTTGAAAGAAGAGATAGCAAGAAAGATGCCAGCCCACCAGGAGTTTTGAGAATTGACGGCCGTTATGCTCTGGCTGTGCACATATGACCAGGCGCCGAGCGTGATCGCCCCAAGGAGCTGCCAGAGGACGAAGTAGACGCAGACAATGGTAAAGAGAACCTTAAGGGCCCGATATTCGACGCCACCCAGATACTCGCGCTGTTCCTCCGTGAGGTCGAAGAACTGGCCATTTCTACCGATTGATTGCTTGTTCTCGTGAATGAACGTCTTGAAATCGAAGCCTTCTGAAATGGACTGGCGACCGTCGTCACGACTGAAAGGCCTCCGCCTGTTGGTGGCATTCGACTTGGGCGAGAGTGGCTCGGTGGAGCTGGTGGAGACGCCGAGTTTCTGGCCCTCCTCGATGGGCTCTAGCATGTCGGATGGTGCAGACTCTTGATTGGTGGTCTGGCTTTGGCTCCGGCCGTGGCCCTTCTCGCGGGTTGTAGACTTCGTTAGCTGGAAGGCGTCTGCCTCGGCCTGCCGCTCATGTCTGCCCTTCATTTGCTTCCGCTTAGACCCCTTAAAGGACGACATGACAGGAAGACCAATCATGGCTCCAGCCATGCCGACTATAGCGCCAGTCTTCTTGATCCTCCTGTTTCGTTCGGTCTCGACGATGTCCTCGAAACGCTTCTCAAAAACGCGGGCGCGAAGCCAGATGGTGAAGATAGAGACGAAGACGGGACTGCCAAGAATCATCATCAAGGCCATAATAGCCTGCTGGGCGGTACTGAGTTTGCTGATATCGATTGTGTTGAGTCCGGAGGTGGTAAAGGCAGAGATGACGAGGAAAAGGCTATCGATAAAACTGACGCTGTTGGTCGGGTGGGAGAGTCCGTAAAAGATGCTGGCAAAGATGAGCCCGGTCAGTATGAAGTAGGCGTAGTGAATTGTGATGAAGTTGACCGGAGGCAGATATGGACGGACGGCTGCCCATGATTCAACCATGTAGTCCGCCGTGGCGGGACGGTCGGCCTTGAACTTCTCCCATGGTTGCCATGCCATCACCACAGCGGCAGTGATGCTATGCGCAAGTAACGCGAGCAAACAAAGCACCGGCTGGTAATCGACCAATTCGGTCGTTAGAGGTCAGTCTGGCTGGCCGCCGTAATGCGCCGGCACTTGGAATGGGAGAAAGAAAATATTACCTAGCCTTGCAGGAAGAGAAAAGCTTGGTGGGCAACTTAACTGATAAGGAAGCGTGGCGCTCCCCCTGATCGACTTGTTTCGGCGACACATGGAGGGCGGCAGGGCCTGCTAATGCCCGGGGTAGTTTGGAATCGTATCCGGTTGGCAGTCTGTAGGGGCGGCTGGTCCCGGGCCCACCCCTTTCTAATGACAGCTCATCTACGGATACAGTTCTATTCGTACACAGTACACCATATTTCCGCCAAGGCCTAAAGTAGCAAGGGAGGCCGCCCCTATTGTGAAGTTGTACGCGCCCCCGGGGCCTGGATTGTGACGTGTTGATTGCTTGGTTCTACGGAGTAGTACTACCTATTCGACAGGTTCTTCGGAGGACGGGCGTCATGGAACCCGAAGAACTCAAGTACGGGCAAGGCACAATTACGGAGCATATTCCTCAGGCACCAGCTTTCGGCGGCAGGTGATCCGCCGCTTGTGAACGACTTCAGAAGTTCAGGCAAATATTGTCATGTTTCCAATGGTCATGGCCAGAAGCTCTTGCCTGCTAAACATCCAGTCATTTCCATCCTTGAGAGTTTTGACTGACTGGTTGCTTTGTACACTAGCATACATTTAGTTATAGGTCACTAGGGATAGCTGTAAATAATTTGGCTTGGCCTTGCATCGTCTTGTCGGACATCATCACGACACAGGCAACCTGATCCCTTCAAGCCACCACATACGATCATACCCATTGGAAAATTCGGGATCCCGTCCGCTCTCCCATAGATAAGCCAGTGAGGGCCGGATTAGTAGTTGGGTCGGTGACGACCAGCGAATACCTGGTGTTGTATATTTTTGAAGTTTTGTTTCTCATCTTCTGCTTCATACCACTCTGCAGGGGACCGGGGCCGGAGACCTGTCACGGGATACTCACTGTAGATGCAGATGTGGCCGTTGCTCTAATTTTTATTTTATTTTTTGAATCAAGAGGAACTCTGTGATGCCGTTTGAGGGTTGCTAGGCTGGACTTGCCCATAATGACTCAAACTGTCGGATTGGAAGTCCAATTCGACCGCGAGTAAGGGCAGAGCATGGGCCACCTCGAGGGAGTACAATTAGACCTCGACTACCCACCCAACCTCCGGTTGGAATCTCCCTTCTACTCCTTACGCAGAATCAATCAATACAGAGATATTGATACTTCGTCACCCCAGGACCCTACGGTTCGAACCAAATTCCCTGTGAAAGGAATACCAACACAAACATAAGCTCGCGATCTAAACTAACTGGCCACACAACACGGCTAAGCACTTCCCTGGCTTCAGACCATGCAACAACGCCAGTGACCTTGGCCCATTTCCGAATGGAATCGAGGCGCTTGTCGCAGATAAATGACTGGGCATGAACCAAACTTAATGATCCGACAAACGCTTTCCAGAGCCACGTATCGCGTGTCTCTCGGTTCATACTTTGGAGTTTGACTAAGTCATTTCTCAAATCCTGTGTAAGAACCCGAAGCATATGGTAGTGGAGTTGCTTCTCCATTGCCAGACCTTGATATTAGATCCCAAGAACGGCAATCAGATACATGCCGACGCCCACACAGAATCCAGACCACGACGATATGAAGGCTTGTTTTCCGCGAGACGGGAGTTGAACCTTGTCGGCGAATGATGAAGTATGGGCGCTGATTACTGCGAACAGCAGTTCAGATGAGCCACCACTATCCCAGACCTGCCAGGGCGTGGTGAGAACTGTCAGGCCCATCCCAGTACACTCGTTACAACGATTGTCACACTATGCCTATGAAACAATATGGTCTTACACAAGCATGACTAAGTTTGCCAAGGGTATGCCAGTATAAAGGGTCTTCCACTCACTATATAGATAGTCGGGATATTCCCATAGCCACTCGTTCTTCATACTCATCAATACATCCCATTGACCCCCTACCTGATAATCGCTGCCCAACAAGAACTACGTCAGCAGATGCTTTCGCATGCTTTAGGTCTGTGAGCTTGGTAATATTCCGAAGAGCTGTAATAGTCGGGTACACGTCAATGATCTTTGGCTTTCTGCCTTGTTGGACAGAGCCGAAAAAGAACGGCACCATTCGGGGGGCCCTTAGACGAAGATCTAGATCACTGGCCTCGTGGACATGCCATTGATTTATCAAGTGGGCTGACTCTCTATGATCTGAGTGTGGCCTTTCGCCTTGAGGTGATGTGTAAGTAGCAAGAGTGTCGTCTGAGCGGCTTTTCAAGCAGTGGACGACGTTGCAATTTCTGGTGAGGTAAAGAATCAATGAACATGTCCATTTTCATCTGCCATTTGAGGTTTTTTACAGAATAAGGTAGCAAGTCGTCTGCTCAACTTCAATGTCATCAGCTAGGTGTTGACTGGGGGTTGCTGCTCGCTGAGAATCCAGTTAAATCATGAGACCTCTAAGGTGAGATTCGGCAATAGCCAAATTTCCCAGGCAGCACTAAGAATCTGAGATGTCAGTATGACGGGGTATATGAGCGAAATAAATAGCTTCGTCTTACCTCTATGAAGCAGAGCGTGCTGATGTACTTCGCGCACCGCATGGCATCTTGTTCGTGTGGCGTGGCGACAAGCCAAGAGTTCACCTGTCGTATGCTCTGAATCTTTTGGAAGACAAAAGTGAATTCAAATGGATAGAGATCGCCTTTATTCCATGCGTAGTGAAGACCGGATATCAGTATCGTATTTTGCAAAACATCCGCATCGGAAGTAGCTGACGCAATACTACAGGGCCTCTTTAACTTCCCTCTCGCCTAATTTTTCTTGGCATCTACTGTTAGTGTAATAAGTGGGCTACCACCAAAATCCTTAACAGCTGAAAACCCTTCACCTCTCCTCCGGCGCTCTCCCGCGATGGCCTCGCAGCCTCCGGCGGGCTCTGGACCGTTGCCGGCCTCCTCGGCCGGCCCTGATCGAGGCTCTGGACCCTCTTCAGAGCCGCCCCCATCCTCAAGGGCTAAACGCCGCCGCGAAACCGAGGCCCAGCCACTCCGGCCCAGCCTCGTGGGAAGCCAGCCCGACGCCCCAACAACAACCCCCTTAACGGCTAAGGGGCCCTCGACTATGACTGGGACAGCTACTGGAGCTGTCCTTACAGCTCTTAATGAAGAGGCTAAGCACTATGAAGCCCGAAAGGACGTCTTTATGGCTATTGCTCAGTCTGTGGACAACGTGATCTCTTGCTTTGAGGGGCCTAGGAAGCAGATTGCAAAAGAAGCTACAACCTATGTAATCCAAGCCTTGAAGAGGATTATGGGTAACGAGACTACGGCTCCGGCTCCGAGCCGGAAATGGACTGACGTAGCAGCCTCGGCTTCAACTACAGCCGTGGCCGTAGCCCCGACCCGTACTCGAATCCCCACCCGGCCCGAAGTCCAGACACAGAGTCTGACGGAGACCCGGGCCCAGGCTCTATCCCAACCGAAGGAGGACCTCCGGGTCTTTACCCGTATCCCAGAAGAGGGCCTAGCGGCTGCTAGGAAGCACGCCCCCTTCGCCCTACGCCGGACAGTCTGCCAGGCCCTTAGGCTCCAGCAGCGCACATACCCATTCAAATCAATCAAACAAATAAGTCAAACAAACAGTCAAATATAGGAATTTCAGCGAGTCAAACAATCAAATATCGTGAGGCCCTATGTTTGATATATTTGATCAAATATAAGGTCGCCCGGAAAAAGAAATATCCGGGGCCGGGCCAATTAAAAATCGACGCTGCTAATCACGCCCCACAGAAGCTCGTCATTGGCATCATGAATACCCATAGCGGGATTCCAACCCACGACTCCTCACTTACGATTGTAAGTTCGGTATCATACCACTTAACTATATGGATTAGTAGCAATTATTTTAAAAATAAAAATGCCTGAGTAGTACAGAGCGCTGGATTTGGCATCCTACAATGTGGGACTGTGGATACCTGAGGCAGTGGCTGGTGCCCCAGGCACCAGCTGCCCGATCCACTTCCTGGTTGATCCAGCCCACCGCAGCCACCTTTCACCTTTCACCACAACATCACCAACCAACCGTCAATACCAGTCGTATTGCCTCATTGCTTGCCTCGTTGGTCCAGATGAGCAGTGTGTACTGCCCACATACAATGTTCAGGAATCAAAAAAACCTCCGCTAGTCAACTGGTGCCCCCTTTTCTCAACATCAACAAAACCAACGAAGTTACGCACTACCACTTCCAACCCTTTGCGACCACCACAATTATCGTCAAAATCAATTAAATTATATATCAATCGATTCGCCATATCGTAATTAATTAAGTAGCAATGAATCGCACGGTCTTTGGCGCGCCGCAACCACTTCGGATTACCTCGTAGCTACCGGCCCTAACCGACGCCAATCTCGCATCATCGACCGACCTCAATACTCGCAACAACCTCCTTGCCCTTCCAAAAGCAATCTGGAAAGGGAGGACTTTCGTTAACGACGATTTGATATCATAGAAGGGCGCAAGGCCAAGGAAGTCGTGGATCCGCTTAGAGGGGGTCTTCGCTCGAGAGATCTATAATGGAAACATTCGAGGCGAAGTCTTCTGGTTTTGTCGTCGCTGCGACGAAATAGGCATTATTACCTGCTTCAAAGCAATAGCTACGAGCTCAGCGACGACTCAGTTAAGGTCAAAGCACCGAGTAATGGATCCAAGCTCCAGCGAATCACCACATCCATCAGAATCCTCAGAGTACGACTCTGCGCCGAAGAGACGGAAACTTACCTCTGGTGCTGTCACGAAGGGCCAGGTAACGAGAATTAAGGAATTGGCAATCGGATATATTGTCAATAACAATAGCCTATTCATAACTTTCTAGGATCCTTACCTCCGGGCCCTCCTCTATCAGTTAGATTATGGTACTGCCAACGAACTCTCATTATCATACGGAAGTATGAGAAAGGAGCTGAACAGGATCTTCGTCAAGAAGAAAGATATAATCAGGGCAGAGATCCGGAGGTTAATGACGAAAGTCCACCTATCATTCGATCTATGGACCTCGCCAACGCGGAATGCCATCATCGCCGTCTTCACTCACTTTCTAAACCATGCTGGGCAATAGACACAATACCTCATTGCTCTACGACGACAGTATAGTGCTCACGATGGGGCCAACATTGCCCAGACTATGAAATCCATAATAAACGACTGGGAATTGGGCGACCAAGTCGGAGCAATTGTTTACGACAATGCCTCAAACAACGACACTTGCCTAGGTCACTTATATCCTATATTATCTCATGCCTATACCCAGGAAGATGTTCTTGACCGGAGGATTAGGTGCTACGGTCATATTCTTAACCTCGTCGACAAGGCCTTTCTGTTTGGCAATGATAAAGAGGCATTCGAGCAAGAATCAGATACACTGATTAATACTAGGCAACTTTAAGAAGATCTTAACCTCTGGTGCACAAGGGGCCCTGTTAGTAAGCTTCGGAACGTCGTCAAATTTATTCGCTCATCGCCTTAACGATATGAGGCCTTCCTCGAGGTTAGCAATGAGATCGACGAGAACGATACATTTACTCTCTTCGAGGAGTCGTCGCAGGAGCTCATGCTGACGCTCAACAACGACACAAGGTGGAATTCGACATACCTCATGATACAGCGCTCTTTGCATCATTCTCGATCAGAATGATCCAGGTCGATCCAAGGGACAAAGGATATGATCAGGAATCAGGACTTGTATATAGCATGGACTTGGGCCGGGCTCAAGGACAGACTTCCCATAGCTTCTTCAGCAATTAACTTCGTATCAGATCTTATGATCGCTTTCAGCTATCTTCACTGAGACCCTTCCTGACAAGACTACGATTGATCACCGAAGCCTTAGCCTAACTTACGACTTACAGACATAGCTTGTGAAGCTATCCCCGACTAAGGTACCGTTATTTAGTAACGCAGCCTCAACTTCTGCAGACATACCTTACTACGACTAGCTGGCCGTGACACTTGGCTCTAGGTTAGACTTCCATAGGTCTTCAGTAATCAACTTTGTAAATATTCTTCGGAATACTGCCAGCTTACCTTCACTGCGAATTACCTTGTTGAGTTCAAGCCTAATCACCTCAGTTTCTGAAGACCTGGTCTGTTTAGCGCATCCTGCCTTACGACTGAGAACTACAAACGACATCTGACCTACACCGCCAATCCCCAACTTCTATTATAGACCCTACTATCAGAGACTAGCTGAACGTAATAGGTCTCATCTAGGATAGCAATAGATGATCCCTGCGACTGTACCTGCTTTTTTATTATGAGAATGAAAATCATTTTGCGCTCTGAGAAGTATACATATATGCTACTTAGACGTTTGGCCAGGACCTCCACAGCCTTGTGCAAGGACTGGTGCGCGCACTAATTATGAAGTAAGTATCGTAAAAATATATTCCCATTTCCTTCTACACGTGATGAATAATGCTATGCCATGCAGCCTTGAAAGTGACATTGACCTCTTCCTACTGCTTTACTACTAAGTATTAGTAATAATAGAGAATTGATAAAACAAGATAGTAGTGTTTAATGACTATCCTGTTCGCCAGGTTTACTCCATAAACTATAGAAATTGCTCTTCTCTAAATGTTTTCGCCCCTGCTTTACTGCCATCTGAAACAGATTTTGATCCCCCAAGGTTACCATTCTAAGTCCAGACGCCTGGTTAAGAATAAAAATATCTCCATCAGCATAAAGACTAAAATACTCGTTAAAGCTGCGCTGTAAGAGGCTTTCATATAATAGCTCTAAATCTCGAGAACGACGAAAAATGGGGATTCCCGAATTAGTTTGTGCTTTTACCTGGATGGGTATTCCTATTGCATCTAGTATGCTGTCTGATAACGTCGACTGGTTACCTAGGGCTTTAGCGGCGATTTCTCGTACTCTCCAATCCTCGTCCTTGAGGAGTCCGACAAGGGCGGCCGTGGTTGTGTCTGATAACGTCGACTGCTTGCCTAGGGCATAAGCGGCGGAATCTCGTACATTGCTGTCTTCGTCCTTGAGGAATCCCACAAGGGCGGCCATGGTTGCGTCTGATAAGTGCCTTTGAGAACGGCGCAAAGCGTCCAAGAAGCTGGTTTTGTCTCCAGAAGCACTCAAGGCGCTATTCAATACTTGTTCTGGAATCTCTGGTTCCCTTATAAATGTTAATGATCCTGTGAAGTCCCTCTCAAATAATACCCATTGTAGTAAGTAGTCTTTTCCCCCTCTAATCTCGAAGCCCAGTTGGTAATTTAAGTGTCTCGTTTAAGCAGTGCATGACTAACCGTTGGTGGGTAGGTCCCAGAAGGTCGATCGGCTCTTTCTCAATTTCTTCAAAGAAATTACTCGCGTTCTTCTCTTTGTCTAGCAGCCCAGCCACAAAACGCTACATAACGTCGTACTGTGTGTCGTATTTATGTCTCTTAAAAAACTCGACAGGAGTTATATCCCCACCACTCTGTTGACCAGATAGGTGCTGCTTGAAAGGTTGGCGGTGATTCCAGTGTTGCACAAAGTGGCGTGCGGCAAAATATTCCTGAAATGTCAAGTGGATAAAATGATAGCTCTGGTGAATAGGCTCGACCGATGGGTCTGAGCTTCGTAGAAATGAGAGGCAAGGCAGCGTTTTGTCCAGCATAAGATCTGAACTGCTGCTGGTCGCATATTCATTGATCATGTCTCGGTACCCCGACTCGAATTCCAATTTATCGATAATTAACCTAGCGAAAGCGAGGTGCTCGAGAAAACTAGCCTCGGCCTTGACATGTCTTTCGACACTAAGTTGACCAGCAGTCTTCAAGTCGCTAGTTTCGATTCTTTCCCCCTCATGCTTTTTTTCAAGCCGCCAGATATCCTTTTTCCATAAACTCGTTTACATCGCCTCGTATAGCGTGGTCATAGTCTCCGGCGAATTTCCTCGGTTGCCCTTGAAATCGTTTTAGCAATAATAGAATGCATCTAGCTACATGGGAATTCTAACGAGACTTCTGATAAGCTCGTGGCTTTGAAGGAAAGTCTTTATTTCATCCACCTTCCTAGTGTCCGTTTTGACGTGCGTTACTTCGATGTACTCGTCCACTTGAGCCGGGTTGAATCCAATTGTTTCTAGCTCTAGGTGGATTGGCTACTGGTCCGGAATAGGAACACTAGCAGACGGCCGCGAGGTGATAATGATATTGGGTTGATGAAGTAACTTGCGTAGAAAACGGGATATATCAGAGCCGGCGCTAGTAATACGATCTACTTGATCCTAGCCGTCAAGGATAAACAGTGTTCGATTGTCCTTTAGCGCCTTTCTGGTCTCCTCAGCGAAGAGCTCCCCTGTCCTATTTCCTCGAGGCCGAAAGAACTCGTCGAAGAAGAGGCTTTCGAGATTATAACCGGTAGCTGGTCGCTCCTTCAAGGTCCTCAAAGGTACCCAGAGCACACGGTCGAACAGGTCGCGCCATATGCCACTCCTGACAAAACCATGCACTATCTTCTTACATAGGGTGGTCTTGCCTACCCCAGCGCGTCCGCGAATTAAGACCCTCCTAGGTGAGATTTCCGTCCCGTCGGATCTTCTGCGTCGACTGAAAAGGTCTTTCAATTGGACTTGACTCTGCTCTGCTGACGTCTCAACCTTGAGTCGCGCAAGCAGCGAGAATGGCGAGGATTTTGGTTCTGAGTTTTTGGCTTCTAGCTCGTTTCGGAAGGGCTTGTCCCTCTGTATCTGCTCCACGATGGAAAGATTAATATAGCATTGGTCTATTGATAATTCCTTTCCCGATAGCCTCTGGATCATGAGCTTTTCACTGTTGTAGTGCTTCTTGAGTAAAAAGTCGTCTGCTTGCTCGATAATGGGCTGAGCCCGGAATTTCTCGATAGCGGCCTTGATGTCTTTGAATCCGGGGTGATCTGGGCTGTTGAACTTATTCAACCCGGCATGATTGGTGTCTATACCGACGGAATCATTCGAATAGCCTGTGGCTGAGTCTCTACTGACGACCTACTTAGATATTAGATTATATTCGACGTGTAAGTCCAGCCACACTTACAAGGCCAATAGAAAGTCCCCCGAAAAACGTAGGCTTTGTCTCAAAAAACGATTTGATCTGCTTGTCGGCAGCGACACGCCGAAACTTAGCTTCCAGGTCAGATGGTTGTGTTTGATTGCTCTGTAAGGCTATAAGCAACGTCGTGTTGGAGCCGAGGAAGCCGGTCAGCTTGCTCAGGAGAGCTCCCGCAGCTGATAATGATGAACCTTGATGAGGGGTTCCAAGAAAGATAATGCCGCACGTATCCGCCAGCGCATTCGGAGACGATTCTAACGCGCAGAGGGCCTATAGCATGTATCAGATAAAGAGAATATGATGTTCAACGGTGATTATACCTCTTTAATAACGATACCACCAAAGCTATACCGAATAAAGATGATGGGAAGGCGCAAAGCTCCGGCTCGATATTTGGCGAGTATCTCCGCTAATCTATAACCAACTTGCTATACCGTCTTCTCAGGGGCATCCACCAGCCAGTCGGAGTTATAAGAAAAGGACAGAATTCTTGCAGTTAGGACAGCCTTTGGGAGTAAATTTCGGAGGAGGTGAACCTTAGCCTGGTCTTTTTTGCCCTCCTAAGTGTGATCAGGATGCGCACCCAGGCCGTGGACAGCGACAATTCTATAAAGAGAGTTAGTTATTAAGAAATATATCTGGTAAACAAGACTTCTTACTCGAATTGAAGGTTACCTGTAGGTTTATTCTCTGATGGATCGTAGATAACATCAAGGCCGTCTGCGCGTGAATTGCGCCGGTTAGGCTGGAGCCTGACGATGAAGGGGTACGCTGTAAGTAGCAGAGCAGCAATTGTAGCTATCCCGACAGCCCATAGCGAAGTTGTGCCATACGTAAAAGAAGTCATCACGGCGGTACGTCAGACAAGGTCCAGGAGAAAGCTTTGCGACGTGTAGATAGGTCGCGTGATGTAGAAGAAGACATCCAGGTCAGCCAGACGAGCTTGGGAGTGTCCTAGTAGGCAGTATTGGTTGTTTGTGCGTTATTGCTGCTGTGTGCGCGTTAGTGCCTAAAATCAAATTGAGCCGGCTTGTCTCCTCTGGACCTCATGAGGGGGTGTAAGCCTGACACGTCAGCCAGGGTGGTACACAACATTGTATTGAGAAGCCAGGGATTGAAGTAGACCATTCGCCATTAAGATGGCTGCATCTTGTGTGGCAAGGGCGCCTATCTGACCCACGGGCAGGATTGATCAGCATGGCCCTCAGGCGCTCGGGCACGAGGTAGATACCCAGGCGGTCCGTACCTAGCCCCCGTTTAGACCCCTCACTGGCAGCTACGCCGTATTTTAGAACGGAGGATGTACTACTCGCAATACCCGCCTTCGTCGCGATGCCGACTCGTGAGCAGCCTAGAGGCTTACTGGTAAATTATTTGGGGCTGATTGTAGCGTCTAATGGAGTATGTTAAGTGGGCTAGGGCCCGTGGTGGGGCTGATGATGGCCTTGCTATCACCTCTTTGCATGGCAACAACGGAATAGGGGCAAGAAAGAAAAGAAAAGATAGACCCTTGACCGGCCTCACTTCTACCCTGATTACGACAGACGGCATCCGACCAACCCCGTGGTTTTCTGCTTCTATGGTCAATTACATATGTAGTACGGCTTATGCCCAGCATCATGCAGGTCGCCAAAATCACATATGCGTCGTGGCACAGTGATAGTGATGCCCACCTGCGGATGGAGGGTAGCCTTTGACGAGGACGGTATTACCATTCCGGTCTAGGTAAAGTCGGTCTAATTACAGCGACGTGACGCATAAGCAAGCCTCATGGATCCAGACTGCTGTACAAGACTTTCTCATCACCGTGTCACCCAACGAGCCGTATTGACCCCTCACTGGTTGAGGCCACCCAGCCGCTGATGAAGTCGAGGCCAGGTTTACCGACCCTGGATTCGCTTTAACCTCTCCCTACTGTAGTGTCGTGTGGCAACCCAATTGCCAATGAACAGGTAGCAGAACACCACAATGACTAGAACGGCAGCGGCCAGCGGCCCTACTATGGAGAATACGGTGAAGCCGTACGAGGCCGACTGGAATGCTTTATTACCCTGGAGGGCCTCCGTAGCAAGACCGACCTGCATCGCCGTCAGGACGACAGCAATATAGACGGTCGAGCTGGCCAGCAGTACAAAGTTGTCGTAAAAGAACGAGCCGTACTGGTTCCAGCGAGACGTGTAGCCGCAGAGCGGTTTCTACCAGAAGAAGTAGATCTTGTTAAGCCGGCTAAGGCGGAGCTCCCCATAGTGGAAACGTGGGTCGATGCGGGAGTAGATAGAAGGACCGTCCAACAGCTATCCAACTACAACCCTCCACGCCGGCCACTGCACCTTTTCGGGTATAAGGTGCAACTCCTTCGCAATATGAAAGTCGCTCTCATGCATTATAAGTACTGCATACGAGAAGAGAAACCCCAGAGCACGGTCGTGTACTATGCTCGTAAGAGGCACCTCGTGCGAACAAAGGTATTTTCCCCAAAAGCTCTGCTCAAGGAGATAGCGTGGCAGAGGCTTGATAAAGATACGTCCGTTTATCCACACGAGGTGCATATCCAGCTTCTCCATGATTATAACCTCTCGGTTAAGGAGGCGCTGGTAATGAAGCGATCGCGGTGGCATAGGCCGACCTACGATCCATAGCCAATCGTGGATATCTTTTAGTCGGTCGACATTAAGCTCCTCGTTCACCCATTCCAGAATTCCGGTCGGCTGGTGTGTCGCGGCGAGGCATTCTAGATCGTCATCCTCCGTCCGTCTTGACGCTGGGAGGAGCGATGGGAGGTCGGTTTCTGGGCTGTCGTCTGTGAGGGGCCGTCCCGTAAAGGGAGCGCACTATAGACGCCATTTAGCGCATAGAAATCCAAGCGACTAGGAGAACTTACTTGACTTGTTTGTGCCATTACCTCGACATTGGCTTGTTTAATGGGGATCACATTCGACATCGGACAACCTTGTTCTGTAAGCTGTTGTTATATAATCTATAGACGTACTTCCAAGCCTGACCGCAGACCGGTGTTGTTGTAAGGCTGTGACAGAACCTGGGATGCCCTCGCTTAGGTGAAACTCGCCGCATACAGTCATTACTCAGTTAACCACATAGTCGGGCCAGGATTGCCCTACAAGGGATAGATGCCACTCGTTTATATAGATCTACTGCAGGCCCAGCAGACCACTCTAAGCAATACAACCATACTTATCCCCATTCATTATGCCACTGCTGACCATACTGAAGATCTGTCAGGCTGCTACATCACATACTCGCAAGTGGGCTCAGGAACCTGAGGTAATTAATGCTGGCCCCAAATCTCTATATCGCACTATGATAAAGCGAGTTGAGGAATGGTGGTTATGGGCCTCGGCGCTGATACAGGTTGGACGCGGCGGCATTAGCTCGAGACTCTGAGATGGCTGCGGTGCCACCGTAATCGCCAGGTCTTCTAACACCCCCTCTTTGCTGATGATCGGGCGGAGCAGCGTTCGGCCAAGGCCCTCGGAAGGTGATGACTGGTGGTCTTCAGCGTGGGGCCGGCCGTACCCATGCATGGGTATTCGTTATCATAGCCTGTAGTCTTCGCATACGAAAAACAACTTCCAACCGTTGTGGATCGCCTAGGCGCCTGTATCACACTGCATGGAATAGTCACTGCATGCCCAAATAAATCATGTCTTGCTGACATTAACAACCTAATCAGCGCGAGATACTGCCTTTGTTCGGATGTTCCTACTGTTTTGCCGCCCCATGACGCAGCTCGCTGTTGATGTTTTCCATTTCATATCTTTACCCCTTAGTAAATAGGCATTTACCCTCATATCTTCTTCACCTGCCATCATTGAAAACGCAGTACTCCAGCCTCGTAGCTAATGCGACACGCCCAGCTTGCGAACTATTGATCCCCTCAATACTCAAATTCCCACCATCCAGACGGCTTACTCGGGGAAAGCCATGACACTGAATCGCGAACCTGGCCCCTATGATTCCGTGGTAATAGTGTCAGCTGGATTGGTCCTTCTCCTCCTTCTCCTGGCAGGAGTTGCAAGCGCCGTATTCCTCGGGCCTTATGGGCCCGCGTATGCTTCTCTTCCCCCTCATTCTCCAACAACAACAACGACGACGACGACATTGCCGGCGGAAACCAAGGCAGAACAGCGCGGCGTCCAGCTGCGCCAGGTCAACCCACCTGCCGACGAAAATGGCGAACCAGAGGGAGGCATCGACATCATTGCCGTACACGGCCTCGATACCAGATCGCCAGACACCTGGGAATTCAAGACGATGGACGGGCACAATGTGAATTGGCTACAGGACAAAAACATGCTCCCGGCGGAAGTCTCCAACGCTCGTATCTTCACTTGTGACTGGCCGGCTGAGTTATTTGAGACGCTAGACGCCGAAGAAGACACAATTCAAGAACTTGCTCTACGGCTACTTGCCGGTATCCAAGCACGGCCATCCGCAACAAACAACCAGCGTAGTTACAAGGACCGACCAATTCTGTTTGTCGCTTCATGTCTCGGGGGCATTATCCTAGCGAAGGCCCTCGTCATGGCTAAGAATGAGTACCTACCTGTTCGAAACGCAACGCGTGGGATCGTATTTCTCGCTACGCCCTTCCGAGGCACATCATTCGAGGACGTGGCCAGATGGGCAGAGCCAGGCCTAAGGACCTGGGCTTCGATTCGAGGCCGTCGCGTAGCCAGCCTACTAGGTTGGGTGAAGTCATCAACATTCGACCTCACTCTCCTCGTTAATGAAATCACTCAGCTCTGTGATAACAAGAACGGCGAGGGCTACAAGGTGCTTACTTTCTACGAGACGGGCTATACAAACCTCCCGGCCAAGGTCCCTCTGCTGTCCTATTTACTACCACCTTCAAAAAAACAGGTAGGATATCTGTAGCACATATCTCCAAGCGTACTTGCTAACAGCTGTTAGTTGGTTAGCAAGAGTTCGGCAGTTCTTGACTGCGTCCCAAACCCACTTCCACTAAGACGAACCCATGTTCTCATGAACAAGTTCCGCGGCCCTAAAGCCGACGACCCGGACTATAAACTCGTCGTAGATAAAATCCTAGCCTTCCTTGAAGACATCCGCAAGGAGACACCGCTCGAACAAGCAAATACATGGATACGCGAGAAGCACTACAACAAGGAAAGACTAAAGATCGAACGGCTTTCCGGCGATATTTTGCCGATAGATCAATGCTATATCAACCTGGCACTGATAGAGACACTACGAGAGAACAACTCGAAGCAGAAGTCTGAAGACTATTCACAACAGCCTTCGCCATTCTCCCTAGCTTCTCGGATAAAGGTTGAATTACCACACGAGGATTCTCAAATAGAGCTATCAAAGCTCTTTGAGCCGCGTAGGCAACCCGACGGCCAGATGAAAGAGGTAAGACGAATACTGATCCGAGGTCGTGCCGGAGTCGGAAAATCCACTCTATGTAAGAAGATCGTACATGACTTTATTGAGAAGGCCATGTGGCGACATCTGTTTGCTCGCGTACTCTGGGTGCCCCTGCGAAATCTGAAAACGTGGAGAGGTCCGCCGTACGGTCTCACGGGGATGCTTCATCACATCTATCTACAGCAACGACCAGACCACGCCTCTATTGCCAGCGCTTTACGACAGCATGTGGAGGATTCTGTATCCCGCGGTGCCCTTTTCATCCTCGACGGTCTGGATGAAATCTCGGAGCTTTTAGACGAGCAACACAACCCCGACATGTTTAGGTTCCTTGTAGAACTGCTGAACATGACGACCGTTATCATTACGACCCGACCGCACATCTCGCTTCCGCATGATTTCGAGAAGCCCGACCTCGAGCTCGAGACAATCGGCTTCCGCTCCGACCAGGTGGAAGCTTATATCAAAGCAGTTTCGACGCCGATCGTATCCCGAAACATCCAATTGTTCCTCCAGAAAAGCCCGCTAATGCGAAGCCTCGTGCGTATCCCAATTCAGTTGGACGCACTCTGTATTGTTTGGGACGAGACTTTAGATACCGACAGATTGAAAACGATGACCCAAGTCTATCAAGCTATTGTTGAGCGGCTTTGGAGGAAGGATATCAAAAGATTAAAGGAATCGCAGCCACATATCAAAGCCATGTCGTCACAAGAGATTAACAACCATGTCATGGAAGAGATTCAACTACTTGAGTCCCTTGCTTTTAGCGGTATGTCCAGTAATCTGATTGAGTTTCAGTCAGTACACCGCGACTCTATATGCGACTTTATTCGACCTACGCAAACTAGCTTGCCGGTCTACGAGACTCTAGGGCGACTCTCATTCCTACGGACGTCAGATGGCGCAGCAGACCCAGCTACCCGAAGCCATCATTTTCTACACCTAACATTCCAAGAGTATTTTGCTGCTAAATACTTTGTACGAATGTGGACGAACGAAAGGACGCTCCGATACTTCGACTTAAATAGCCGAAGGAAAGACTATTGCGAAGTTTCTCCTAAAGTGTTTCTCAGAGAAAATAAATACACTGGACGGTACGACATTATGTGGCGTTTTGTTGCCGGGCTCCTGAGTGAGGAGGGCAAAGACGAGATTAGTGGCTTCTTCGAAGAAATCGAGAAAAAGCCTTTCGATATTTTAGGACCAGCACACCAACGGCTCATTATGCACTGCTTGAACGAGATACTCGACTTGCCAACTAGGCTTCGAGAGAAGAGAGAAAAACAACTACTACAATGGGTGCTGTTTGAGAGGGACTTCACAGGATCATCAAGATTCCCAAGAGAATCAGAGATTCCAGAACGGGTGTTAAATAGCGCCTTGAGTGCTTCTGGAGACAAAGCTAGGTTCTTGGACGCTTTGAGCTATTCTCAGAGGCAGCTATCAGACACAACCATGGCTGCCATTGTCGGACTCTTCAAGGACGAGGACAGCAACGTAAGATATTCCGCCGCTGATGTCCTAGGCAAGCAGTCGACGTTATCAAACACAACCACGGCCGCCCTTATCGGACTCCTCGAGGACGAGGAGAGCAAGGTACGAAGATCCGCCGCTGAAGCCCTATGCAAGCAGTCGACGTTATCAGACACAACCACGGCCGCCCTTATCGGACTCCTCGAGGACGAGAACTGGAGAGTACGATCTTCCGCCGCTAGAGCCCTAGGCAACCAGTCGACGTTATCAGACACAACCACGGCCGCCCTTATCGGACTCCTCGAGGACGAGGACAGCAAGGTACGAAGATCCGCCGCTGAAGCCCTATGCAAGCAGTCGACGTTATCAGACACAACCACGGCCGCCCTTATTGGACTCCTCGAGGACGAGGACTGGAGAGTACGATCTTCCGCCGCTAATGCCCTGGGCAACCAGTCGACGTTATCAGACACAACCACGGCCGCCCTTGTGGGGCTCTTCAAGGACGAGGACAGCAAGGTACGAAGATCCGCAGCTGTAGCCCTGGGCAACCAGTCGACGTTATCAGACACAACCATGGCCGCCCTTGTCGGACTCCTCGAGGACAAGGACAGCGATATACGATCTTCCGCCGCTAATGCCCTGGGCAACCAGTCGACGTTATCAGACAAGATATTAGATACGTTAGGAATGTATGTTCAGCCGGAGGAACAAACTCCCTATTGCTCTGAAGATTTGAGATCTTTTTATGAAAGCTTTCTACAGCGCAGCTTCCAAGAGCATTTTAGTCTTTCTGTTGATGGAGATGTTTGCGTCATCAACCAAGCGTCTGGACTCAGAAAAGCGAAATTGAAAGATAAAAGTCGATTTCAAGTAGAAATCAGGACGGCGCAATGCCAGTTAGAGGAGACCTATACCTCAGGTCTCTGGTCTGCTCTTGGCAGGCAGAATGAAGACAAGATCCATCATGGAGTATCTCCTAATGAGATAATTATGCGACCGGCCATCGGGGCGACACGTATCAAACTATAGAAATTAGATATTACAAGTAATTAAAAAGGCGTTCACTAATTTCTCGACCTAGCAGTAATTTGCTAGAGCTAGCCGTCCGTGACTAGTAAAGCATCTAAGCCTTGTAATCAATCAATTTTCAAACTTCTAGAGCTCTTCTTGGGCCGAGGGTAATCGCATTGGCTAGGAGTGGAAGTTGATATGCTGATAATGACACCGGTGTAAAAGCCTTGGACGGGGATCGTCGGAGAGGCGGCAGACGGGATGACCAATATGGAGCCATGCAACGGACAGGGCTACAATAAGGCCAACAACTAGTCAACAAGGCGACTGGCCGACAAAACGACCACACCAAATTTGCCAATAATGCGGTTGGCAAATGTGACGACCAACATGGAGGCTAAGGGACGACCAACACGAAGGCCAACTAGAAGTGGACAAATGTGACGACCAATGAGGAGGCGAGCAAGATGGCAGATGTGACGGCTAAAAAGGCGGCCGACGTGACGACCAACAAGGTGACCAGTAGGACGGCCACTAAAACCAGCAAGAAGGCGGCAGACATGAAACAAGATAGAGCAGTTAGGCCCCAGGACTGGTCAACCATCACTGGATAGGCCAACAACACGGGCCACCCAAGCGAGAGATAACCAACACATCTACTCAGCATACCTTATTCAAGCGACTAGCTAGCTTGCTTGCCATAGCTACGAAGAATAAATAAGATCGATATGACTAAGTCGTAAATCAAAGCTCTCTGAATAGTTAACTAGAAGTCAAAACTAGCAAATGACTAAAACAAGCGTTTCGGCTTCTAACCAGTCATTATAACCCGACATACATGATCAAGCCAGTGCCCACCCCGTAGGTCCACGTCGGCTACTCAACCAGATATATGCAGGAACGACGGGAACTCGGATGACCTCTTACAAGACGGAAAACTATATACAAGTCACGTATAATCAAGATAAGTGTTACGGCCTATATAGTTAGTCCTGTCATGGCGTAGCTATATATACAGAACAAGGGACAATGATGACCGGAGTCATCATTACCGAAGTTTTTGCTTTGTGCCACAGTTGGTTACCTTGACCTGCTCGTAATAATAAGACTATCAGCATACCGAGCATAGCTATCAGCGCTTGCTAGCCTATTTATAGTAATCACTAATGTTACGCCCGCTGTGGTTGGTCACTGTGAGCGTATACCTATATAGTGCAGAACAGGGGACAATGACGCCGGAGTCATCTTTTTCGAAGCTTGTCTCTATGTCACAGTTAGTTGCCCTGACCTGCTCGATAAGGCTTCGGCGATCAATCGTAGTCTTATCAGAGGGTTATAAGTCAAGATAGCTAAAAGTGATCGTGAGATCGAATACAGAGTTCATTGCTAAAGAGGCTATAGAAGGTCTGTCCTTGAGCCCGGCTCAAGTCTATCCCATCGAGTGCCAATTGGCAACAGGTACATTATGCCCAGTTTTGACCCACTTTTGCCCCCTCACCGCGGGAATACATGACGGTACGTCATCAACCCCTATATTTTCCCAGCTGCGTTCACCACCACAACTAACATTTCTACAGATGGGCAACTGTCGCGATGTCCTCAAGCGACTCTGATGCGTCTGATTCGTCAGCGCTTTCACATATCACCGTCGCAGTACTTCCCGAAGACCTTGATAGCGCCTGTACAGCTCAATGTAGGCCCGAGAGGTGTGATAACGCAACTGTACGCCCACACGAATCGCCTCCGCTAGAAAGGGGCACACCGGGCCAATTCAACCCCCTCGACGTGCCCTACCGCGCCGCAACAGTACGGGGTCTATCTACTACCCCTTTAGAGCTTTTTCAGCAGTATGTGCCTTTGAGGCTGGTTGAATCGTAGGTACAGTGGACCAATGAAGCCGCAGTACGAGGCCCTGTTCAACAACACTCACGATCCCACAGAAAAAAGACGAGGTCAGGGTGCCTGCAGTGTGGAGTAGCGCTTTGTAACTCGGATGATTGCTGGTACCTCTTTCATAGTCAGAGTATATAGACAACAGAAGTATCCATAATCTAGGCTTTTTGGTTGGCTAGAAGAAGTCTTGGCTGTCTCCTGAGTGGTCAGTTCCCCTCAAGGGCATGTACCTGTTGCCAATTGGCACTCGATGGGATAGGACTATCCCATCGGGTGCTGATGGACAGCACTTTCGCCAAGGGCGGGGTAGAGCTAATAAGGGCTTGCAAATCTATTAAGTTAACCAATAGGGCTGCAGTACCTCTATTTCCTATAAATTTTGGGTGTGCCAGAGGTACCAGCAATCTTTGCTAATACATAACGGTACATTACAATCTAAGCAGCCCTTTCGAGTTGTCTGCCGTCGTTGCCGAGCGATGGCATTCCCAGATATCTCCTTTAAAGCCTTCCTATTACCACAATAGGTACAAGGTTAAGATACCTTTCTTGATCCCTTCCTATGCTGTTCCCATGGAATAGAGGTATTCCTTTTGTCTGTAGCCCGTCTAGCCCTAGGGCCCTCCCTAGACAACGGTGCTGTATTCGTCCACTGGGCCCACTGCTCCACGAGGCTCTGCGGAACGTATTGGAGGAACAGTTCAAGCGGGCTTGCCGGCAGCCCCCGTATCTCTTGGGCCCGGGCCGGCACGTCAAGGGCCGGAAGGAGCCCGGAGGACCATGCTGAGTAGCCGGAGGTTCGTGGGGCCGGACTATAGCTGCGTCACAGCGCTCGGGCGTACAGTCTGTATTACAGGCAGCAGTAAGGTCTTCTGGGTGGACCTCAACTACTATACAGCTGCGTATAGAAGTAATAGAAGCATTAGATGCAATAGAGGTATCAGAATCACCAGAAGACATAACGTGGTTGATAAGCGAGTGGATCAGACAAGCGAGTGGATCAGCCGACCGCGACCACAGCACATTTGCGACCGATACGCAGCACTAAGAAAAGTAATTCAATTGAAACTATTTAAGATCCTCTTCTTCAGACATTTCTTCAGCAAATTGACATGTTCGTGCATTATGACCAGTGTTCCCACAGACGCCACATCGCCGTTGGCCCGTCTCGGTCCTCGGTCGGCGACCACTACTCCGGCGTGTTTCCTCCTCGATCTGAGCTGTTGCTTCTCTCTGCGACTGAAGGTCCTCAGCCTCAGCTATAGTAAGACTTCCTCCTTGTCTGAGACGTGTTTTCTTAGCCCTCCGGCGCCGGCTTAGTAGGTTGTTTTCCTCACGAAGGATTTTGTTCTCAGACCTTAATAACGCAATCTGGTGCATAAATCCACGCGCCCCCTTTGATAGATGCTCAACAGCTTCAATAATTGAAGTTGGTGAGCTATTCTGATGGCGGGAGATCCTCCTTTTGATGAGTTCAGACTGAGAAGATGCTTCTGTTGGGTTGTTTGGCGTCTGAGAAGTCCACGCAGGGGGTGTTGTTGGGAGGGATCCTGGAGGTGTTGGAGTGTGTAACCTGATATCAAGCTTTGAAAGCACACTTTCGGCACTCAAAGGGACAAGCCCAGCCCCTCTGAAACCTCCCTGAATGTTCTTTTCCGTAATAGCTTGGGCAAAAGCCTCGCGAAACGCAGGGAAGAAGTCTTCCTTTGTAATATGCGTATTACCCCGGCGCATCTTATCCTCAATTTGTCGACCATAAGCCGTCTTTAGTGGCCCAAAGCACCCAACGTCTAAGGGCTGAAGCAGATGAGACGAATGGGCCGGCATACAGAGTGTGACGATATTGTTTTCCTTGCAATATATCTCGAAGTCGGCAGCGTGGTGACTTTCATGCCCATCGACGACGAGGAGGCGATAACTGCCAGTTGCACGCAGTTTTGTATGCCGATCAAAGTGCTGGAGCCAATCTAGGCCTCTTTCGTTTGTTGTCCATCCGTTGTCAGACGTTGCAATGACCCAGTCGCGTGGGAGATTGGTTTCCGTGTACCAGGTGGAGAGGTAATATTGGCCTGCAACGATGATATACGGCGGGACGCTGTAGCCCGACGAACTAATGGCCTGAATGACTGTAACCCATTCACGGTCACCAGGCTGCATCATTTTCGTGTTTGAACGCCTTTCGGCGCTCGTGGCGACCATCCCAGATGCAATCTGGCCCATCATAAACCCAGTCTCATCAAAGTTATAGATATCAGAGTCCACAATACCATATTTCGCGATTATGTTCGCCACAAGGCGAAACCACGCGTTTATGGCGTTTGGATCTTCGCATTGGGCCCTCTTGTAGTCGTACTTGCGAAAAAAGCGCGTCTGGAGCTGTGGTTGTCGCTTGACGAAGTTCGAAGCCCAGCGCTTCCCAACTGGGGGCGCGTTGCGGTCGGCGAGCAGTCGATTAGCCATTTCTTCCACACCTCTAATGCGGGGAGGGAATGATCGGGAATCTAGGTCGAGAATATACTCAACTAGCTTCTCTTCTTCAAGCGTAGTCAAATTCCGCGATCTAGGCATAGTGTCGCGTCGTGATAACTTTCCCCTTAGACGATGGCGTAAGGTTGAGAAGGGTACTGAGTAGATCCGGGATGCCGCTCGGATACTAAGATTTGGTGTCGTTTTGATAGCCTGAACCGCTAAGGTTAGCTGGCCTTCATTACTTTGTGATGACATGCTTGGTTGTGGCGTAACGCCTATGAAGGGTGGAAGATATGTTGGTCGCGGTCGGCTGATCCACTCGCTTATCAACCACGTTAACAATATCAATCAAAATAGTAATAATAGTGATGATAATGGGCAAAAGAGCATAGGGATGAGTGACGTATCGTCAAGTACCCCTTTAAATGCGGGGTAATAAAGTGTAAATAGTGGGTACTTGGAGGTCTTGGCAAAATGAGG